ACAGCGTGGACGCTCCAGCGTCCCACAGCGGCGGCAGTTTCGCCGTCTATAAACCGAGTTCCTTGGCCGACAGGACGACTTGGTGTACAAACTTCGAGCCCCTTCCAGCGCTTGCGCACGAATTCGGCCACACGGGCCAGTGCCGCCGAAGACGGGCCCCCGGGCCCTTTCCTGCTCTCCTCGGCGGCCTTTGTTTAACCGCCCGCGCGAGGCGCCGGTTCCTGCCGCCCTCTTCTGGCACTCTCTCCCTCCCTCCTTCCACCAGAGGAAGAAGAGATTCGGATACCGCTGCTCGTTCTGGAGAGCCCTCGTCGCCACGGCAGGATTCTCCTCGTATAATTTTGGCCAGAGCGCACCCTGGGAGAGGTCCGGGGAGCAGCGGCATCAGTATTTTTGTTTGTTTCCCGAGCGCCTTCGTTTACCCTTTCGGCTCGAGACGTTTTTTTATTGCTTGGGGCACGACGGGCGTCATGGCCCCCGCCCCCCCCCCGCCCCTATGACGCAACGCCCCCCCAGTGCGCTCCGTGCACTGCCGCCGTGCGCATTGGGATGGGCGTAGGAATCCGCATGGGAGTCTGGTCCGCAGTCGACATCGTCGTCGTCGTCGTCGTCGTCGTCGTCGCTCGTGGCTCGTGGCTCGTGGCTCGTCGTCGTCGTGCGCGCGGACGCGGCTGGAACCTGTTTTTTTTTTATTCCTGGCCGATGACGGCAATCATCTGGGGGGAGTGGAAAGGGGTCGATGAAGTCACGCTTCGCGCCGGCGGCGCTTGGGAATGCTTAGGGATGACGGAGGACGGGTGGCACCAGCATGTAGTTGGCGATCTGCACCACAACGCTTGTGTACACCTCAGTGCTTGCGTGCACCACAGCGCCTGTGTACACCACACCGTTTATGTACACCACGACAGCCGCGTGCAACACAGCGTCAGTTTGCGCCACCGCGCGCGCGGGCACAACAGCTCTTGTGTACACCACAGCGTGTGCAACACAGCAGTGTACACCACAATGCCTGCGTGCATTGCAGTGCCTGTGTGCACGACGGCGTTTGTGTGCACCACAGTAACCGTCTGCAACAGAGCACCACTGTTGTATGTTGAATGTTAGAAGGAATCGTTATGACAAAATGGAGCGTTTGTGGATTCCACCGAAAACATAAGAAAATAATCCTTATAGACAAGGGAGCGCCAGGATAATCTACGAGTCCTTCTAAGTTCGCCCGCATCACCGTAACTCTTCCCATGTGCGCCCAGGAGGCTCCAGCTAAATTGGCCGTCCGAAAACCAAGTGGGCCGATTCAATCGACCACTTTGCAGTGCACGCTTAGTTGCGCACGTGCGTTGCAGCGCCCACCCGCACGACAGGGGGTAAGGAGGAGGAGGAGGAGGAGGAGGAGAAAAAGGACGAGGAGGAAGAGGAGGAGGAGGAGGTGGAAATGGAGGAGAAGGGAAACGGAAAAAACGTCGCGTTCGATTCTCAACATTTTCCTGGCGTGGCGCTTCCGCAGCAGATCCTCACGTTCAGGTTCCTTCTACCTGTCCTATGCACGCAGGCGCTGTGGTGTACCAGCGCGCTGCCTTGCACGCGGATGCTGTGGTGTAGGCAGGCGTTGTGGCGTGCACAGGCGCCGCGGTGCACGCAAGCACTGTGGTGTACACAGGCGCTGTGTTTGTTGCACATGTTTGCCTCCGGTGTGCACACGTACACCGGCGCTGTCGTGTACGCAAGCACTGCAGTGTACACAGGCGCTGCGTTGCACACGGTTGTTGCGATGTACGCACGCATTGTGGTGTACACGCGCGCTGTGGTGCACGCGAGCATTGTGGTGTACACAGGCGCAGGGTGGCAGATGGCCACCTACATGCTGTTCGCGTCGTCGTCGTCGTCGTCGTCGCTCGTCGCTCGTCGCGTCGTGCGCGCGGGCGCGGCTGTGGTGCCGGAGCCACACGGCGGGGGGGGGGGGCGTTACGTCATACCCCCCGCCCGCCCCCCCCCATGACGTCCGTCATTTCCGAACATAAAGAAACGGTCTCTTCCAGCCTCCCCGCGGGGACGGGAGCTCTGATGGATCGTACCGCCGTCTGCGGCATCGCTCGTGCGTGTCGCGAGTCGGAGATTCGATCCGCTGCACCCGCGGCTTCTGGTGTGGGGGCCTCGTGGTCCTGACCCGGCGGATCTCGGAGACACCAGCTCGGGCCAGTGCGCATATGCTTGCCAGAGGGGGTCCGAGTAATTAGATAGGTCGAAGGATCGCGCCGCATCGCCGATGCATCGACAGTACGGGTCGATATGGAGCCCCATGTTCTTGACCCCGACGTCGCCGATGCGGTGCGACCCTGCGTCCCACCCATCTGGGAGGCCCCTAGTCAGGAGGGGAAGAATCACGCATACACACAATCGTCCCAAGAAAATATGGGAACCATGGGAAGCGGGGAGTTGAAGACGGACATCGAGAGAGCATGGAAGAGAATGGGAATCATGGGATTTGTAGATGTTGATTTGTGTGTCCCTGGGTGAACATCGAATATAGAGAAAACGTGTAAAAAATTGAGTCCTGGGATTTGTGCATATTTGTTTGTGTGTCCTTGGGCCCCGTCCTCCAGTGCGGCCACGGCTCTCAGGTTGCGGAGCACGGCGCACGCGTCGACCCGAACAGACCCGTGGGCATCGAAAGAGAATGTGCATTATTCTAGGCTTCCGTCGGGCTTGCCCCTCTACTGGAGGAGTATTTAAAAGTAGCCAAACAAGTAGTCAGGGAAATATTAGTTTTTTTTGGGTATAGTTGAGTACGTGCTGACTCTTGTGTTGCATTTGTCGTCCAAAATCCGCCTGTAGGAAGACATGCCCGACTTAACTCCAGGCTTCCCAGTTGGGGTCGAAGCAGAGGGGGTCGGAGGATCGCGCCGCATCGCCGAAGCTTCGGCGATGCGGCTCGATACGGAGCCCGATTTTCTCCACGCGGACGTCGCCGCTGGATCGCCAGCGTCGCTGATGCGTCGCTGATGCGTCGCCGATGCATCGACGATGCATCGCCGATGTATCGTCGATGCGGCGAGATCCTCCGACCCCCTCTGATCCGATCCTATATCGGGGGCATCTAATTGCGCGAGCGTTTGTGACACGAGGCTGGTCTCGCGGACTGGGGGGGGGCATTCGTGTGCATTGTTGAGCGCGCGCGTCTTTTGTGGACTCCCTGATATTCGCCTTCCGCCCCGCGGGCCGCGCGAGAGCCCACGCCCCCGGAAACATCCGCCCCATAATCTGCCTTGGTGGGATGGGGGAGGAGGGGGAGTAGAGGGGAGGGGGGGGGAGGAGAGAGGAAGGGGGGCTTGGCCACGCGCGAGGAGAGAGGAGGGGGGGGACGAGGGCGGAGGAGTATCGGACAGAGAAGGGGGTGGAGAGCGAGGAGTGGAATGAGGGAGGAGGCAGTAGGAGGGATGGGGGACTGAGGAGGGACGACCAGGAGGAGGGTGTGGGGGGGGGGGGGAATCTGGTGGGAGGAAGGAGGAGGAGGAGTGACTGCATGAAGGAAGAGGATGAGCGGAATGAATATCCATGAAAAGAGAAGGAATCGTTGATGGGGGGAGGGAAGAGGATAGACAGACAGAAAGAGGGTAGGAAGAGAGAAACGATGAGATTTCCGTGTAACGATGCGCAGATATGGGCTTTGAGCGGGAGGGGACGCCAGCATCATCAGACAGGCCCAGCCCTGGTGATGGAAGGTGGTCGCAGGGTCGGGCCGGAGCAGGAGCACGGAGTCGTTGCGACTGCTTGCGCGGTATCCCCCACGCCTCGTCTTCGTGGTCCCCAGTGTCGTGCCTGCACCTTCTGGGACGGACCAGGCCTCAGGGCGGCGCGCCCGCAGTATGAATTCGCGATGGAAATTTCTTGATTATTTTTTTTCCAGCGCTTATGTTTTGGATTCGAATTTGTTGTGATGCGACCGCTCTCCGAGCATGGTTCGCACTCGATCATCATCGTCACATGTCCGTCACATGGGGCACCGCCAAATCTCATCCGTAACATCTGCGGACCTCGCCGGCCTGACAGGCCCCAGGACGACCGAGGCGCGAGCGCACAGGGCCCGGGGCTCGGCCTGGCAGAGAAAGTTGCCCGTCCACGCCGCGAGGCCCCAACCCGTCCCCTGCACCGCGGGCGCGCGCGCGCGCCCGCCACCCGCTCCGCGCTTAACCGGGCCCCCGTCCAGGGTAGATCCTGATTTGATCGGCCCGATCGACGAGATCGACTTTTCCGCTGGCCCGATCTGCTTCGATTCAGGTGTTCCGGCGATCCGATTTGGCCCAGTGCTTCCATGGCGCAGTTGTGCCTTCTTCTGCGCTTCGATTTCGACTCTGTGCCGCTGCGGTCCAACCTGGCGCACATTCCGGTTTGATTCGACTTCCTGATCTTGATTTGATTCAAGGGAGGACGAACCATTCCGACCCTCACAATTGGCGTTTATTACACGGCCTTGGTCGTTTACTAGAAAGCCCTGTTCTCTTCGATTCCTGGATTTCTCTTGGATCGGCGCTTGGGCCCCCTGGCGGCGCTTCCAGCGCCGCCCCTGGCGCGCTCCGCGCGCCAGGGAGGGGGTTCCAGCGCCGATCGGAGAAACCCGCGCGGACATCCGAGTTTCTATGTTTCTATCCTTGTCGGCTCCCCGATCAGTCTGGCGCCCGTGGTGGTGGTGGTGTCGTTCCTCTCTCCTCTGAGGCCTGCGGAAACCAAAAGGTACCCATACCGCTGCGGCGCTTAGCTGCCTCGGTACGCCCGTTTTGAGACGCAACACGTACCGTGCTCAAAACGTCCGTGTCAGTGCGTTGCGTGTTGGCTCAGCGTATTGGCCCACGTTTTGGCGAACGTATCGCGTCAGACCTTCGTGCTCGGTCTGCGTGTTGAGCTCCGTAGCAATACGCTGCGTGCTGCGTGGTGCGTACCGGGGCAGCTGAGCTGCGGCGCGACCTCTGCTCTCCGCGGACCTTGGTCCCCTCTGCCCACCGCAGGAGCGGGCGCCCGTACAGGCAGGTGCCCCTTGGAGCCGCGCCGCCCGTGCGCGCGCCGCTGCGCGGAACCCCGCGTGAAATCACGCCTGGGCCGCGCTGCGCGGAACCCCGCAGGGCCGGATCTGCGCTCCGAGCGCGAGCGCGAGCGAGCACCTCCTCCAGCCCGAAGCAGTGTCCTCGCACGTCGGTCGTTGGAAGCAGGTCTTTGTTGGGATCCCCAGGTCCCAATCTGCTTCAGGCGCCTTCCTACGTCAAGGATCCACCCTCTTCTTCTGACCGACGGGCACCAGCTCGAAACATATCCTTATCCCCATGCTTGGCATCACCTTACCCGGGTGCCGATCTTCAGGATGCCCCCTCAGTTTCTGAGGGCACGTCCTTAGGACTGCCATCGCCTTGGGCGTGCCAATCATCTTAGAGATAGGGATGAGTTCGAGGCTGGTGAAACACCCGCATCGCTTCTCTCCGCGGCCAGGCCGCGCGCCGTGCCACTGTCAGCCCCACTCACCATCCGAAGAACAAACAACGGCATGAACCTGAACTGTCGGAGTTTCACGCGAATCTTCTGGATCGGCGCCTGTGCCACCCCTGGCGGCGCCTCCGACGCCGTCCTTGGCGCGCTCCACGCGCCAGGGTGGGGGATCCAGTGCCGATCCGAGGAATCCGCGCGGACCTTCGACAGGTTACCTGCATGCAGATCTTCGGGGGCCTCGCGCAATGGGGGCCCAATGTTTGGGTTCTATGTCAACCACACTCAACATCGGGTGCGTTCTCCTGCGCTGCTCTGCTTGTTCCCCCTTCTGGCCTGCTCCGTCCCCTCCCTCCCTCCTTTGTCCTCTGCTCCTGCTCCACTCGCTACTCCTCCCTGTATTCCTCGTGTCCCATGGAACGCAGCATGGCCCAATGTGTGTTGCCCACGTTGACCTCCGCCAACGAACTGCGCCTCATACGCCGCGGGGCTTCTGTGGGGAAACACGCGGTGGCAATATAGCAAGACCAGTCATGTGGATGAGCGCGAGAACCAGAGGACTATTGCATTATTCGGTTCTGGACGTCCGCGGCAGTTCTTCTAGGTCAAGGTGCCTTCTAGGTGATCCGTTGCCATTTTGTGAGAAGACTACGGTTTATGTCGGGTTGGCGTCCGTCCGCCTCGGCTCGTTCAGGCGAGGCAGCAGTTTCGGCCGCAGTTTGGGCCGCAGGTATCTGTGCCTGCTGTGCGCCTGGCTAGCTCGCGCACGAGCTGATCATGGGCACATTGACTACACTCATATCCCTCTTGCAGCGAACCATGAGTTATTTCACCGCCTTCGACCGCAGCCTGCCCGATAAGCCAATCAGCTTGGGCAGCAACACCAGCGTCGCTCACGCAAGCGCCCAGCGCCCCGCTCCAGCCCAGGCGGCAGAAGTACCGGGGCGACGGAAACACTCAGAGGTTCAGTCGAGAGTTCTTGCGGTTCTTGACACCGGCGGCTCGAGCTGCACTGCTTCGCTCTCACTGGAAAGTTGTCAGATCAGCAGGAAGAGGTATTCGAGATCCGACGGGGCGGCTTCAAGCAGGTCTTCTACGAGGCGGTGCTGAAGTGCATGATGTGCGAGACGAGAGGCCACTGGGATCTTGCTGGAGGCGTCGATGGGCAATCAACAGAATGACCGACGAGGCAGTCTCTGCACATGAAGAGCAGCCACCCCAGTAAGATCGGCACGTTTCCCTGCTCAGGATCAACATTCACAACATCCCCGGGGTTCCACTGCCCACGGCAGTCATGAAGCGGACAAACGCTAATAACAGCTTGTGCGTGCGGTAGTGCACACCAAGATGGCCTTTCGGCGTCGTTGTCTCGATGCCCGTGCACTCCAACTACGGTATGGTGACCACGCTGACGGGTCATTTGGGAGAGCATGGCAGATTGCACATCGCGAATGGGGACGGACGTGGCGGTCGTGGTATCCGCCATGATCGCCGCGTTCAAGCTCCAGTATTTTGCAGAAGCGTTCAGCTGCAGGGCTCGAAGGTGGGCCTAATTACTTCATGCGTGTCGGCGGTTTTCGTCGTCACTCGCGTGCGCCAGCCGCAAAGGAAGACTTGTCGGTAATCTTCCACCTCGTTCGAAAGACACGATGGCCAGCGTGGGCCCCCAGCAGTGAGCTACCGCAGCGATGATGTGTTGGCTGTGTGGTGCAACGATGTGGTGTAAGCTGTGTAGTGCAGGCTATGTGGCGCAGTCTGCGTGGTGCAGGCTATGAGGTGCAAGTCACTGGTGAAGCTCGCAGTTGTCAACTTCACTGCTCGCGCAATCGTCCCACCCACCCACCCACCCGTAGCTTGTCTTGCACAACACATGCGGCGGCGATTGCGATGAGTGCTTGATGTCGTGCTGGCTCATTGGGGGTCCCTTGGCGTCTTGGGCCCCCAGCGACAACTTGGTACGACACGCCCGCAATGCCACAACACTCTTTTCCAAGTCCGCGGACGCAGGCACGCAGGCGTCGGTCGAGCAACGATGATGCCACAACGCTCGCACGGTGGCACGGCGAATTAGTTCCCTCGTCGGCGTCAGCGTGGGCGAAACGTTCTGTGCCACTCAGGGTTGTCCCACACTCTTTTTTCCCGTCGCGGCGCGGCAAAGGGAATCCGCTCGCGCGCACCAGTCACCGGGGCGAAGCATACACGAACTGTCCGACAGCACGAGAGAGAGAGAGACAGGACGGAGGGCGGCCGCGGAGCAAGGGCGAGGGGGGGAAGACACTCACAGCACGAGGATCTTCGGCAGGAGTGGCCGGTGCGGCCATCCGTTGCGGAGGCGTCTTGGCGCAGCGCTGTTCTTTCAAACGCCGAGATCCCCTCGCTGGCCTGGCACGCACCACCGAGCTAGGCAGACAGAGGCAGGCCAAGATCACACGAGGGAATACGCTCCTCGCTCGTGGTCCCTGCGGTCGAAGCCGTTTTTTGTTTGTTTTCCTTCGTTTTCCCAGGGGCATCCCGTGGGTACCGCTACGTTTCCCTCGTTTCCCCCCCCTTTTTGGGGGGCCTCCTGGGAGGCCCTCGTCGCCACCGCTGGCTTCGCCTCGAGATCCTGGTCGGGACGCACCCCGGGAGAGGTCCAGGGAGTAGCGCTGCAGGTTTTGTTTGTTTCCCCAAGGGTGCCTGTTGCATCCACGCCTCGTTAGCCCATCCTTTGACTGCTTTCGATGGCCAGCCCCGCTCGAAGAAGCTTCCGCTCGGGCGCCCCAGGGGCTCGCACCCGTACCGCGCATCCTTGTACCGTCGATCTCGACTGTAGCTGTGAGACGAGGTCCCCCCTCCCGGCTTTGGCCCCCCCGATCATTGCCGCTACAGTCGGCACCTGATCAGTAGGTCGACCCTGCCAAGTCGAGGGTACCTTTGCGTCCTGTGTTTCGCGACCTATGCCTTCTGCACTCCTACGGCAACGTGGCCCTCGGAGGGGTCTTGTGTCCTCTCGCGTGTCCTCTCCAATCAAGTCCGACTGCATCAAGCGCAGATCAGCTCGGGATGCCACAGCCGTGTTTCCATGGCGCGCGGCAAGGAGGCGGAGGAGGACGACCAGGAGGGGGAGGGGGCAGAGGAGGAGGAGGAGGGCAGGCGCACCCTTACGGTCAACGCGCATAGGAAGGATGAGCGACCTTCCAACGTTACCTTGGCATTCCCCCTTCGGCCCGTCCTTGGCCGATTTCGCTGGCCACGCCCCGTTCGCAAGGTGTCCACATGGCCCTCCAAGGCCCTTGCATCCTTATCGTGCGTCCGGATGGTACGGGTTGACTTCGCCGCGCATCCTTACTGCCAGCTTTGACCGTGATCCTCGCCGCCGCCGCCGCCGCCCCGCCGCACAGTCGAGGCCTGGTGTGCACGCAACCACTCGGCAACGTCTCCTCTGCTCTTCCCGCGAAGAGTCGCCAATCGCGCCCTCCTCTGCCCACGCGTCCTTCACGATGCTCGACCTCTCGCTCGCTCGCCGCCCCCGCGGCCGCCTCGCTCTGCCCTCCAGCGGGCGGGCGCCGGGCCGCTCCGGCCGCCGCCGCGCGGGCGGCGCGGACACCGCGCGGCCGCTCCGGGCGCCGCGCGGCGCCGGGGCGCTAGGCGCCGCCGGCCCCGCCTGGACGTCTTTTCGCGGCGGCGGCGCGCCGTCGTCAGAGAGACACTTACCCAGCTCGGCCACGCGCAGAGGGGGGGTAGGGGGATGGCTTCTTAGAAGCGCCTCTGTGTATTAGAAGGCGCGGGCCTTGTCTGTAGATGTAGGGCTGGCGCCTTCTAAAAAGCAGCCTCTTTCTAAGAAGCCTTCCCCTCACCCTACCCCCTGGTAAGCGACGCCAACCATCGGTCGTTTAAAGTGGGTACTTGTGGCTTTCTAGGTCCCATCTACTTTAGGCGCCTTCCTACTTCGATCGACAAGCGTCTTTCTATTTTCTTTCTCCTTTGAGGGGCGGGCGGAAACCCAAACCATTTCTAACGCCTTCCGATGTCATGTCTCTACACATTTCTTGCGATCAATGTGTATCGGGTTGGGAGGATGTGTATGGGAGAAACGATCAGTGCATCGGTCTTATCGAGTATGTTGGTAGCGCTTGTGTGTTACACAGTCGTACGTACCCTGTGTCCTCCCAGCCCCTTCCTCCCAACACGACGATTTTCTTTCTCACGCCAGGGGCATATTTCGGACGGTTCAGGCGTGTTTTCATAGGGGGAGCTCGAGTCTATGGGGCTCTCGTTGTCTTTCCGGGGGGGGGGCTTTCATGGGGGCGCAGGTGTTCGGATGTTTTCGCCGATTCTCGGCAGTTGCTGAACCTCGGGGTGCCTTCAGCAGCTGCGCCTCGCCGAGAGCGTTCCCGGGCTGCCCCCCGGATCGTGCCGAACGGCCGCCGTAGAGCCGAGTCATGACCCCAGGACTGGGGTAGCGGCAGCGGGGGGTGAGCTTTTAGGGGTGGATGCATCGACCCCTCAGTCGCCCATTCATCGCCGATAGGGCCTGATAGGGCCCCGTAGCTCACCCCGCCCTGGAGCGTGCCGTGTTGCAATCGGGGGCCTCACGCCGATGCATCGCCGATTCCAGGTCTTTGCTACCCCCCCTCAGCCAGTCCCCCCTCTTCCGTTGCCCCTCAACTTCGGGGAAGGGGTGCCTCGACGTATACCCCGCGTCGCTTGGTCGTCCAAAAGAGCCGGGGAATTCGGCGAAGGGGTTCCGTGGATGTGCGCTCCAGCGTCACGCAGCCCGGGGAAGCTGAGGCGTCCACACGCCGAGCTCCCTGGCCGACCAGACGACCTGGTGTAGATGTCGAGCCCTTCCGGGTGCTGGCGGCGGTGAAGCCGCCGTCCGCGGGGGCGGGCGACGGCGGCGGCGACGGCTGGAGACCCTCGTCGTACACCGCCTGGGGCGCGGCTCGGAAGGCCAGCCAGGGCCGTGGCCCAGTCAGAGGCAACGGCCCCGGGGGGCGGGACGGACTCGGGGGAGGTGCATCGACTCCCAATCGCCCACGCCTCGCCAACAGGAGCGTGGAGGAGTGGCGTTTCGCTGTCTGGGGCCGTCTGCCGATCTATGGGCGATGCCTCGCCGAGCCCCAGGTCGATCTCCCCCTCCCTGAGCTCGGCAGCATCGCTCGGACGTGTGCACGTTTGTTCGGCGAGGCCAGCGCCAGAAATTTGTTTCGTCATGGGGCATCTTGGACCATCGAGCGACAACCCCACGCACGGAACCAGGCAGTGCACGGGGAATAGACGTCCGAGCGATGGCAAGCGAGACCGTCCCCCCCACCGCGTCTCCTTGCCCAGGAGGACGCCCGAGGGGTCGATTCCGTCAGGACCCTTTGGTCGGCGGCGGCCTCGTTCGGCGGCGTGCTGCCCCTCGCCCGCCGCGTTCCCTCTGGCGAGGCGGCGGCGCGGAGGGGGCCGAGATGTCGAGTGGCTTCCGCGACTCGTTCACCAAGGAGCCGCCCCCGCGTCCTCCCCCTCCGCCGCCGCTCCTCGCCTCGCCCTCCCCATTCATCCTCCTTGTCTTTCCCCTCCACTCGTCCTCCTCCTCGTCCGGGCCCCCCCTTCCTGCCTCATCCACCCTCGTGTTCCTCGTTCGGCCTCCTCCGTCTTGTCATTTCGCCCGCTCTTCCTCCGTCCTTCTTCCCCCTTCCTCTCTATGGACTCCCCCTCTGCTCACTCTCCCCTTCCTTACCATGCTTGTGATTAGCATGTTTCGCCTCGTCCCTGTCATCATCATCTCTCCGCCACTTCCACTCCGCAGCCTCTGGCGGTTACCATCGTTCCTCCCCCAACCACATTATCATAGGTCCTGCCTTCTCAATGCATTCATTCTGCCCCCCTCCTCCTCTTCCTCATCATCCTCCTCTTACACCCTTCTGTCTTGCAATTTACTCCTCGCAAGGCCACCAGATGTGCTGGCCAGGCGGTCCGATGTTGTTCGACTGCGTGCACACCCACTACATGTTCCCACCCTGTGTTGCCAGCTTGAGGTTTGACACTCTCCTAGTTTTGAGAACCAGCAATCGATTATGGAAGTTTTCCGCCTCGCACCACCAAGCAGCTACATGCATGTGCCAAGGGGGAGGAGGAGGAGGAGGAGGAGGAGGAGGAGGAGGAGGAGGAGGAGGAGGAGGAGGAGGAGGAGGAGGAGGAGGCGGAGGAGGAGGAGGAGGCGGAGGAGGAGGAGGAGGAGGAGGAGGAGGAGGAGGAGGAGACGGAGGAGGAGGAGGAGGCGACGGCGGGACAGCAACCTGCCAGAGCCCGACGTCCAGGCGCTACAGCCCGCCGCTCGCCCCCGCCCTGTTCGGGAGGCAGGCGTATGGGGCGGAGAAGCTGTGCGCCCGCCCCTGGTACGTGCGAGGGGGGAGCCACGTGGCCAAAGGAGGGCCACTGCTCGCCGGGAATGCCTTGGAACCGCTCGATCCTCTTGCTGAGGAGGAAGGGTACTTTCCGGCTGATGTCCACCGCGGGTGGGTGGCGCCCTGACGCGCTGCTCTCTCCTCTTCCTCGCTCCACTCGTACTTGCTGATCCTTGTTGGGTCAGGCTGCGGAGTTCCTGGACAGCCTTTACCGACCGACCCACGAGCACCACGTGCAACTAGTGGGGCCCACTGGCCCCGATGCCACCGAGGGACCAGACCACGCGGCAGCGGCGGCAGCGGCCCCCCGCTGCGGCCCGACGGGCCTGGCAGCTGCGAGGCGTGGTGCCCTCGCGGCTCACCGTTCCCATCTCTCGCTGCGGCTCGCTCGATCGGGGTTCGAAGGCGTCGAACGAAGCTGGGACAGGCGTACGGCCGGAAACTGTACCGCGCTTCGGCGCGACACGCTATCCGCTTCCTGGTCGTCCAGCGTCAACGTCTTGAGTTTTTCCGAGCCTCCCGCCCCGTGGAGCGGAGCGAGACGCTCGCAGGGCAGTTTGTCGCCAGGGCCGTTCTGGCCACACGCTGAGCAACAGTTCCAGACTGCAAACCCACGACGCGTCAACGATGTTGCGAGAAACCCTTCCCTCATTGCGGGAAGTGCCCCATTGGAAGACGACCGTCAAAGCGCCATTCCTGGGACTTCAGGCCGCGAATCAACTTTGCTGTTGCGTCCGGCTTGTTCTAACTCGTGCAAGCACACCGTTCGTGGAACTGTAGCTCAGCGAATCAACGGGACTGGGGGGAAGGTGGGCGAAGGCTTCCAGGCGCCGCGGCATGACATCACGACGGGGATTTTCTGTAGCGAAATCTCGGCGTCCCGCAGCCGCTCGGGCCCCGGTAGTGGTGGCTTGGGGTTCGAATGCAGACAACCCTCACAGTAAGGACGAGCAACTTTCCATAGTTACCCTTGCATCCTTCCCCTTCGGCCCATCCTCGCCCGCTTTCGCTGGCCGCGCCCCTCTCGCAAGGTGTCGACACGGTTTTCCAAGGCCCTCTGCAACCTTACCGCGCATCCTTAGTATAAGGCTTGACGGTGTTTTTCTGTCCACCCAGGCCCTCTCCACTGCTGTTTCTCGATGTTGAGTTTGGGGGCACGGGGGATATTTTTTGCGCCGCAGGGCTCGAACTTACAGGCAACCCACATAGGAAGGATGGGTGACTTTCCAAGGCTGCCCTTGCATCCTTGTCCCTTCGGCTCATCCTTGGTCACTTAGGCTGGCCAGCCCCACTCGAGAAACGTCACCATGGCTCTCCACGGCCCGTGCATCCTTTCCTCGCATCCTCATTCTACAGGTTTCAGGAGAGGAAAAAACACACAGACACAATTAATCTTCGATTCCCCCGAAAATATGGGAAAATATGGGAATTGGGCGGGAAGACAAACACCCAGAATATATGGGAAAATATGGGGAATCATCTTATATGTGTGTATTTATTTGTGTGTCCTTGGGCCCCTTGAAGGTTGACTGTGTTGTCGATGCACGGTCCCCACCCGGGGCGGGGAGAGCCCACGGGGGTCCAGGGCAGGTTGCCCTCGGGAGCGCTCCTGGGGCGACCGCGGCCCCGCCTCCTGTGGATTTCGCAGGCCATCGGAGATTCTCGTGCGCCCCCCCCCCCTCTCCCCGGTGTTGCTCGCCATCCTGCCCCATCTTAGCTTGGCATCGCTCGGACGTGTGCAGATTTCCCTCGGCGAGAAGCATCGAGGAGCATCTGGGTTCATCTCTCGAGCGGTGAACGCACGTAGCCGAAGAGTGCACACGGGATGGACGCGGGAGCGATGGCAAGTAAGGCGGGGGAGCGAGGAGGAGGAAGGGGTGGGTGACCTCTCGCCTGCAGCCGCGGCGCTCTCCCTTGCAGGAGGACGCGAAGGACGATCTCCTGGGCTACGATGACACAGCTTTCTATTACTTCGTCATCAGTGTCGCCCTGGGGGGAGGATGTTGCCGGAACAGAGAGGGAAAGGAGTGAAAGGGTGGGGCAGCGAGGAGAGAGATGTTGGAGAGGGAGGTGAGGGACGACAGAGAAAATCATGAGGAGGGGGAGGGCTGTTACCAGATTAAGGCACTCCCATTAGCACACTTTGAATGTGGCGCCACGGGGCGCCAGGAGAAGAGCAAGTGATGCATCTTAGCAAGCTGCCTGCGGCAAACCCCGCCGCCGCGCTTGTCAAACAGCGTAGCAGGAAGGAGTTTTAATTCTTAGCACTCTGCGCATCCCCACCAGCCGATCCAGGAACTGTGCTCAGGGAAGCTGCCCTTGTCGGGGGAGCGTGGCATCATTTGGAGAGTTTTCGGGGTTTCTGTGGGTCAGAGGCTTCATCTGAGGCTTCTTGAATGCCTCTTGGAGTATCTTGGGATGTCTCTCGGGATCTCTTGGAGTCCTCTAGGGGCGTCATGTGGGCCTCCTCACGGCTCTTGCGGGCCTCTTGGAGCATATTGGGGGCCTTTGGGAGGCTTCTTTGGGCGTTTTGGGTGCCTCTAGGCCGGCTTCCGAGCCTCTTGGGGCGTATTGAGTGTCTTTTGGGCGCCTCTTGGAGCCTCGTGGGGCCATTTGAAGGCCTTTTGGGGGTCTCTTGGGGGCTCTTTGGGCCTCCCCTCGGAGGGCCTATCTTGGCCCCCCTCGGGACAGGGCCTGTTTTCGCCATATGTGTATATATGTGTATATGTACACACAGATTAGTTGTCGATCGTGGACCCCCTCGATCTGCTTTCGCGCTGTCGCCTTGGCGCCGGCTGCATTTCCTTTGAAAGCGCGGCTCGCGCTCGAGCGCTTTTTTGGGGGGCGCCCAGACTGGCCCCCCGACAGCAACGCTCCCGCTAGACATTTCTTCAGAGTACAGGTGCTGTTTCTCGCCGCGGAAAGCGGGCCCTCCAGCAGAACCAGCGGCGCTCGGCTCGGCGCCGCAAACGCTCCACCCCCCTCTGCAACATCGACGCTCCCGCTCGATACCTCCAAATTTCTGCGCGGGATTGGCGCGCTTGCACGCCGCCGACAGCTGGCCCTTCAACGAACAAACGCTCCAGCTAGATACCCCTTTGCGCTCGCCGCGGAAAGCAGGCCCTTGAGCAGAACCAGCTCCTGCTCGATACTTCTTTGCTTTTTAACTGGGACTGTCGCTTTTGTTCTCCGCTGGCCCTCCAACAAAGCCAGCGCTCCCACTCGATACTCCCTAGATGAGGGTAGTCAAGTGCCTCGGGACAGGTGTTGGCTCGACCTCCTTGGGCGGGAGATCTGGGTGAAGGAATACCGGCCCCATTTTCTTATAGTTTCCCGATCTAGGAGTGGCATTACGATGGACGCATGTGGCGTATGGAAGCATGGCTCATGAGGGTACCATGTCTGGTCTTGTTGAGCTCCCATCTCCGAAAAATATTGTTGATCACCTGTCTGGTGCCCATTGTGTTCTTCAATTGACATCCCCTCCTTGGTCTCGTACCCTGTTCTTCATTTCTGAGCTTTCAAAACTGCGCTGTTGGCCCCCAAGCTACAACAACAACGGATCCTGCATAACACTTCCTTGCAATGTCTTGAATCGCGCTCCCGCTCGAGATCCTTTACAAATTACTCAAGACTCGCGCCGCCGCATGGGACGTCCTCGCTTTCTCTTCCGGCGCCGCGCCCGCGACCTTCAGGAGTCACATTCTCGCCTAAGACAGCTCGACGATTTACGCAGGACGGTCCTTTCTGCTACTTGTGAAGGAGTCGCACTCTCGCTCTGGACTTCCTCGCAGGTTATCCAGGAATTGTGATCTCGATTAAGATTTCCTTGCAAGTCGCCCAAGACGCCATCGGCCCGCCCGCCCGACCCGCCCGTCGGGTCCGCCCGTCCGACCCGCCGGCTGGGGCTCGCAGTCCCGACCCGCCCTCGAAGGTCCGCCCGCCCCGCCCGCCCGACCCGTGCCTCTCTTTTCCTTCTTTCCTGCTGGTCTCTCTCGTCCTCCCTCGCTGTCCCTCCCTGGTGCCCTTCCCTCCACCCTCCCTTCTGCCATCCCTTATCGCCTTGCTCGTTCCTCTTGTCCGTTCTCCCCCTTCTGATTTTAGCGGCTGGGCCAGCTACGGTTGGCTGACAAGGGAGATATGCCCCCAAAGGGGGGTACGTTCGAAGACGAGAGGGCGGGTATTGAGGGTTTGGGATATACATGTTGATTGACACGCATGCAGATGAGAGCGAACAGTTTCGAAACGACTGTTGCTCTCGATTTTCTCATTCTAGGGACAAATATGGTTGACCCCTCCTTTGGTGCACGTCTTGTTTTTGTTGAATTAAAGTGCCCCTCCTGGGGCTCGCACCCTGTTCCTTTGCAAGTGGAAGTGTTGGGGCTCAGACTGTGTTGTTGCCCACTGGTTTACAACAGCAACATCTGTTTTGAAACTGGTCGTTTTCATTTGCTCGCGTGTCATCCAACACCTAGATCCCATACCTTCGGTACCTGCCCTTGGAGTTCCGTTCTTCCTTACCTCGAATCCTGGGAAGAGTCTTTGGGAAATCCAACACGAATCCTGGGAAGCATTCCGAAGGAATCTAAAAGGACTGTTCCAGGAATCCGGAAGCGATGTGTCAGCAATCCATCAGGAAATTCTTCAGGGGTCATTCAGGAATCTTTGGGGGAAATCCTCCCGGAGTCCTGAAAGGAATCCTTCAGGAATCCTTTTTAGGAGTCCTGGGCGGAGTGCCTACAGGAAACCCAGTGGAATGTCAGTTGGAATATGTGAGGAATTTCTGCAGAACTTGGGGAGGAAATTCATGCACTTCGCAAGAATTCAGAGAATTCTCTTAGGAGTGTTAAAACCCGCGGAATCGATCGACAGTTGCAAGAAATGCTGCGGAAGCCGGAGGGAATCCTAAAGCATGCCTGAGGAATCGCACAGAATCCCTCAAGATTCATGGGGGCCGTCGAGGAATCTTTGAAACATAGCAATGGGTCTTCAAGCAACCGTGAGGACTCCCGAGGCATCGCTGAAGAACCACAAGGCATCTGTGAAGAATCACGAGGCGTCCTGGAAGAGAGCTCGGAGGAATCTGTTTGAGGAATCCCAAGGGATATATACCTGAGGAACTCCGGACGAATCTCTCAGGAATCTCCTAGCTATCCCGCGGGATTTGTTTTTATATAAAAAAAACGCAGGGGTCGAAATAATCTCTAGGGAGCCCCGAAAGATCTTCTAACAGTCGCGATGAATTGCTGGAGGATCTTGAATATTGGGGGATGCCAGAATAAGCAGAGTTCATCCTTCAATCATCACGTGGCGTCCCGGAGGAATCTTTGAATAAGCACCAGTAGCCACGAGACTTTTTTAAAACCCATAAAGAGATTCTACATAATCGCGAGGTATTTTTGGGTAGCCACGATGAATATTTGAAGAACCACGAGGGATCTTTGAAGAATCGAGGTGGCCCCTGAGGAATCTTTGGAGCATCCTGCGGAATCCAGAGGAATCATCCTGAAGAATTTTGAGGAACCCAGAGGAATCCTCGAGGAAACCTGGGGAATCCTTCAGGAGTCCCCGAGGAACTTTGAGGAACGGAAACTGTACAGCATCTCAGAGGAATGTCGGAGAAACCTGTAAGGAAACCGGAGGGGATCTTTCAGGAGTCTCAAGGTGTCCTAAGAAACTTCGAAGGAATCTCTAAGGAGTCGCGAAAGCACCTCCAAGGAATCTCTACGGAGCTTCCATGGTGATCTGAATTGGTACTAAATCCGTTGGATTTGGAACCAAGGTGATTGGATCCGTCCCAATCGGTTGAAATCCGTCCAATTTTCGGTTCGTTCGAACCCACACTCCTTTGGACCCCCCCCCCTGGTCACAGAGGCTGGTGTCTGGGGGGGTGTCGGGAGGGTGGTTCTCCGGGTGCTTCAAATGTTTGGCCCCCCCCGCCAGGTCCGGATTTGTTCCAAGCAAGCGCCCACGAAACGCGTTCTCTCACATGTAGGAGGAAACGCGAGCCGATGAGAGCGAGAATTGTTGAGTAAAAGTTGTGTGTTGTTGTGTTGGGTCGGGGATGAGAGAGAGGAGGTCGGGAATGGAAGGGTGGAGGAGGAGATCGGAGAGCGCACCCAGGTGCAACCACAACCGCAGGAGCGAGCCTCACTGCGATCAGGTAGAAGATGGAGGCGCTCGCAGGAGCGCAGATCGGCAAGGGCACCTCACGCAAGCACAGTGCCGCCGACCCTGGAATGAAAGTCGGTCCGACGAGCCAGAATCGAAGCCGTCCTGTGACGGGTCTCGCTCGTCGGCTGCTATCCCAGAGTTGCTGCACGAGGGACTCGCCGAGGGAGAACTCCAACCTCGTCCCCTGCAGCACCACTCGGGCGTCTGCCGCACGCTGCGAGGAAGATGAGGATCTTCCGCACGCGCCCGAGGGCCGCTCTCCTCCGCCTCCCCACCCGGGGCGTCGTACGCGCTGGCGATGCCGAGGCTGGGTACGAAGGGAGTGGCCTCGACGCGGAGGGGCGTGCGCTTGGGCAAGGAGGCGTCGCCCACCTCCATGGCGCGAGCCACATCCGCCGTGGAGTCCAGGCGCACGTCGGGAGCATCAGGGTGGTTAAGAGCAACCTGAGGAACAGCTGCGCCCCGAGGAGGCGCTTCCGACGCGCTGGCACCCGCGAAACTATCGTCCGTCTCCGCGTGGGGCCCGTCGTCTCCGCCGAAAGCCGCTCGCACGGTCGCCATCGCGACCGTCAGGATGGTCTCGTCTTCGTCGCCGAGGGCCAGCATGCTCTTCTTGAAGGCGAAGGGGCGCCCACACGAACGGCGCGATAGGGTTGGCCTGCTCAGCGTGCCCGCACTCCCCACGAAGCGCGGGGCAACCCCGGTCGTGCGACTGCTCCGCCACCTTCCCGCCCTCGTCCTCGGGCACGTCTGACGCATGGGAGCACGGGTCGTGCTCGCCAATCAGTTGCGCGTCCGAGCCGTCGTGAGGACGACGGCCAACCACGAAGAAGTACACCGGCATTTGGACGAACATCGGCGTCGTCGCCAGCGCGAGGGACACTACCAGGACGAGGAAGGTCCTCGCCAGGATGGGGTGGGCCAGCGGCAGCCTCCTGGGGTGCGCCAGCGGGGATGGGCGAGGCGTCCACGCGTTGGGCCTCCGCGTGCAGCTGCACGCCGACGTTCGGCGTGGTTCCGCTCGAGGTGGGCTCAGCGCTGCCTCTGCCGAGCCTGGGGCCTGCAGAGGCCCACGCGATGTCCGCCGCGGACGCGTGGGCGAATCCGCCTGGCGGGAGTCGCTGAGCGTGCCACGCGGCGTTCCGGCGGTGCTGGCGGGAGCCAGGGACAGCGCGTCCCTGGGCAGGCAGCACCAGCGCCGGCCTCGCCGCCAGCTCGCGGTCCTTCCAGGAGCCAGGCTCGCCGCACGACGGGCGGCAGCGGCGCCGAGCGCGGCAATGTCGCACCATCTGGGCTCCGAAGGCTGCCACGCTCTCGGCCCCCCCCCCGCCGTCGCCGTTCCAGTTGAGCCCAAAGCCCTCACGCCCACCGCGTTGCCCCGTGAATCTGGGGTCGCAGGGTACGCCGAGGAAGAGTCCAGGAGCGGGGGGCCTACGGAAAAGCCTGAGCCAAAATGGCTACGGATGAAAGCGAGGAGGAGGAGGAGGAGGAGGAGGAGGAGGAGGAGGAGGAGGAGGAGGAAGAGCACGCGGAGGAGGAAAGGGAGGAGGAGGTGATGGGGGAGGGAAAGGAGGGAGAGGAAGGAGGTTGGACATGGGGGAGGGGAGGGAAGCAAGCTAGGTGCGCTCGCGTCAGACATGATGTCATACCCCTCCCTCCCAGTATTTCTCATGGCGTAGATCTCCTCTCTGTTCGCAAAGTCGGACGTCGCAGCATGGCATAGCATTACATGGCAGAGCATGGCTTTGACAATCAACGCGCAGCATGACATAGCATGGCGTGGCGACGCCCCAAAGCGGGGGGGTTCTGTGGCCCAAAAAATCAACGAATCGACACCGAATGTGGAATCACCCCCGAATGGCGGCATCCTTTAGATTTGGGAGCCCATTTGGAAGGGCCGAAAACCATGCCGTGGCACGGCACTGGAAATAATGACGCCAGCGCTGCAGCGGGAGCACGATTCGGAACGAGCGGAAGCGCGGAAATGAGTCCAGTGCTGCAGCGGGAGCACGGTTCGGAGCGAGCGGAAGCGCGGAAATGAGGCCAGCGTTGCAGCGGGAGCACGATTCGGAACGAGCGGAAGCCCGATAATGATACCAGCGTTTCAGCGGGAGCTACACTCCGAAAAAACATAAGCGAAGACCCAGTTCCCTGGAATCCTGTGTGGAGGGGGGCCGGACATTTTCCCGACGTCGTCAGGGGAGAGAGGACAGTAGCATTCAGATGGTGTAGTTGTAGAGGGAGAAGATGCGGGGCAGCAGCAGGCCGCGAATCCCATGACCGCCCAGGGCTCAAGAACCCCAAGAGCCGCTCATCAGCGACACTGTAGCAGCGCGGCGAAGCAAAGCTCGGCGCCTTCAGCCCAGCTCGCCATGGGCGCGCGTCGGGCGCTGCCGCTCCTCGCGTGCATCCTCGGCCTCCGGGTGGCCTCCGCTGGCCGGCTCCAGGTCGGGGGGGGCCGCCAGCCCACGCACCTGCACCGATCCCGGCGGGACCGGCCCCGGGCCCGGCATGGATATCCTGGTCCCTCCCCCGCGTTTCGAGCAGTGGCGCAGCGTCCTGGCTTGCATATAGGCTCGTGAAAGATTATGTTAAGAACCTGTTGTGGTTTGCGCGGAATGCTCTTAGAGCAGTTCCTACCGAGACGATCTCGTTTGAACACGTCGGCTGTATGTTCTAAGAACATGTGTTATTTCTGAGGGCATTATTTTGTTCTGACAGGCTTAGGACGGTCGGTCCCTGATCAAGCGTCGTGAAAACATCACGACAAGAGTTTTTGTTGCGAGTCTTGGGCCTCTCGGGGCCCTCACCGGGTCCCATAATCTCTGGGGGTCCACGTTGTGACAAAATATTGCGTAAGCGGGCTGGGGTGTGCGCGCCACCCAGGCTAAGGCCAGGACGGCGCGTGCACCGATCCTGGGCCCAAGAGGCCGCGAGGCTGGCATCTTGATATCCATATGCACCGCTTGGGACTTGGGAGACCGACCTTCCCAGACTTCGGGACGCCCTGGACATGGGTATAGTCGGGCGCACTGGGGACCATGCGAGTAAATAGGTCAGGAGCGTTTGTTTAGCATATCGCGACCTGGTTCTGGCCCACCAAGCTACGGCGCCATACGCTAATCACTTCCGGCCCCAAAGCGTCGGTGTCCCCAGTCTGACTCCCTCCCCGCGGAGCTGAGCGACACGCTGTTCTCTCGCAAGGCAGTGCGTCTCGCTGGGGCCGCCGCCACGGCTCACCAAGCAAACGTTCCTACGCTCGCATCCATATCCACCGCCCCTCGGGGCCCCGGGCCATCGGCTCCCCAGGCTAAACCCCCGCCTTGCAACACGCGATCCTCTTGCAAGGCATAGCGTGGCGCAGGCGCTGCCGCCGCAGGACGCTAAGCACATGAGGCGTCCCAGAAAGCTCCTCGCCTTCGAGGACCGAAGGAGTTGCCATCTCTTCCTGGGCGGAAGGCGGCGGAAGGTCGGCGGAAGATGGCGGAAGTAAAGCGAGGGCGGCTCCGCTGGCGGAAGCCAGCGGCAGGCTGGCCGAAACCGGCGGAGGTGAAGTTCGACCTGCCAGAGATGGCGAGTTGTGTTGTTGCTGTTTTTATGAATCGGCCCTATCCACATATTCGTACGCTGCCCCCGTCAGGGTCCCAGCACGTCCGTTCCCCAGGAGAAATAATCCGCTGCACAAAGATATACACACAGAGACCCTACAATGGATTGTTCCTGGGCGCCAGGGGAGAGTGGCGGTGCACAACCACCACCGAACGCCAGCGACTTGACACACCGCCGCCCTCCCCGAAGGCACATGCACAATCCGTCAGAGGGCGTCTGTGTGTGATGCATGCCCGTGGCGTTTGACACGAGAGCGCCTCGCAAGGTCGGCCGCAGGGCGCAGCAGGTCGCCAAGGGTCGCTTCGTCCGCGAGGCCGCCGGGCTGGCCCGCGCGCTGCGCTCCGGGCTGGGCGCCCAGAGGCAGGCGCCAGAGCTGATGGCCGAGCTGGCCCGGGAGCGGCTGGGGCAGGAGGCTCCAGCATCCCATCGGCGCCACCCAACACACACTAGCACTATGTGTGCGTCGCCCCTGAAGGGGCGACGCGCGCGCCGAGAAGTCTTACAGCAGAAGCTCCGTGGCGGGCGCTTTCTGGTCGTACTGCTCGGGAGACGTATACTGCAAGATGGTTCTACGATATGTTCGGGTCGGACGCACGCCTCCAAGGAGGACATATAGTACTAGTATGTCTTGTGCATCCTACTCCACTCAGAGAAGGAACAGGTACCCATACCGTTTCCCTCCGCCCGTTTCCTCTTTCTTGGGCCCCCTGGAAGGCCCTTGTCGCCACCGCTGGATGTGCCTTGAAACTCTGGTTAGAGCGCTTCCTGGGAGAGGTCCAGGGAGTAGCGGTGTCGGTACCTTGGGAGGAACCAGGGGTCATGATGATGCTGATGCTGATGTTGATGCTGATGATGATGATGCTGCTGCTGCTGATGATGATACTTTCCAAGATTTCCAGGGTTTCCAGGATGCCCTGGGGTCCCTACTTTTCCTCATGGGGCTGCAGAAACCAGGGCCACTAGGTACTCTGGAAATCTTGGAACATGTCCTGAGCCAATCTTATCATGAGAGTATTCCCATCCTATTCTAGGCCTCCCAGATGGGATCGGAGTAGATGGGTTCGGAGAATCGCGCCGCATCGCTGATGCATCCCCGATGCGGCTCGATGCGGAGCCCGATTTTCTTCACGCCAGCGTCGCCGATGCATCGCCGACATCGCCTTTGCGTTGCCGATGCATCGGCGATACATCGGCAATGCGGCGCGATCCTTCGACCCCATCCCCTCAGTCCCCATCTGGGAGGTCTCTCAGCAATCACGAGCGGCGAACATATCCGTGTCCGCGCCCTCGCATTTTGGACTTCAGGGCGCGATTCCGTGGATACGAGGTTGCACGGATGCGTTCCGCGCGGGGCATTTGCGAACCAAAACGCTCTGTATTTGCGGGGTCGCGGCCCAGGGGACCGGCCCGCTAGGCCGCGGATTCGTATATGTTTTCCCTCCTCGAAGGGGAAACAATGGCAGACGCTTAATTTAATCGCTTCGCTCATTCCGCCGGCCCATATTGTCGCACCGTTGTGGGCTAGCCGAGTTTTGGGGGCCGTTTTGGGGCCTCTTGGGGCCTCTTTTGGGCCTCTTGGGCGCCTCTTGGGGCGTCTTGGGGGCCTCTTGGGGGCCTCTTGGGGCCTTTTTGGGGCCTCCTGGGCGCCTTCTGGGGCGGAGGGCTCGATTTTTCAGTTCTCGGTTCCCCTCTTGAGCCCCTCTTGGGCCCGTCTTGGGGCCTCTTGGTCCGTCTTGGGCGGCACTTGGGCCGTCTTGGGGGCCCTCCTGGGCCGTTCCGGGGCCGTCTTGGGAGCCTCGTGGGCCGTCTTGGAGCGGTCTTGGGGGCCTCTTGGGCCGTCTTGGAGCGTCCGGAAGCCGAAAAAGCCAGAACACAAAAAACATCGAAAAAAACAATGAAAATCAACGATTTTGGCCTCTTGGGGCTCTCTTCGGAGGCCTCTTGGAAGGCTCTTGGGGCGTCTTGGAGGCCTCTTGGGCTGTCTTGGGGGCCTTTTGGGCCGTCTTGGGGTCATCTTCGGCGTCTTCGAGCGCTCTTTGGGCGTCTCGGGGGCCTCTTGGGCAGTCTTGGGGGCCTCTTGGGGCACTCTTGGCGCGCTCAGGGCGGCCTGAGAGGCCGCACCCAGAAGGAAAACCATCTCTGAGTTGAACCGGGCGGGACCTTGCCAGGCGGCGGGCGGGGTACTTTTCGCCGGGGGACCCCCAGGGGCCGCCCCGCGCGCGCGAACTAGTACAATACAATTGTTAACCAGTTACCGGAGATCTTAGCACGCCTCTGGCCCGTTGGGCCGGCGAATTATTCTGAGGTTCGCGCGGGTTTCATGTATCTGCGCTGAGAACCCCCCCTGGTGGCGCCTCCAGCGCTGCCCGTAGCACGCTCCGCGCTCCAGAGATGGGGGTCAGTGTCGATCCGAGAAGTCTGCGAGGACTTCTAAAGTTTGTGCTTGTGCGTTTTTCTGTTCCTGTAGCGTCGTCCACCTGGTGCCCATCCACACTGGGCCAGGGCACGTCTTGGCCCCATTCGGCCCCACAGTCCCAGAGGTCACCCGCGGGGGCGCGAAAATGATCGCGCTTCTTGGATCGCGGTCTGGGCAGGAGCGGCTGCTCTTTTCCAACAAAACGCCGCGAGGGCGAGAGGACGCGAAGATGACCGCGCACTGCAGGGCGGTGCAACAAAAAAACAGCGACGCCGAAAGAAAACACGAAAAGTGCCGAACAACAACCAGGGCGCCGAACAACAAAGTACTCACAGGGCGCCGATTTAACAGACGGGCGCCAAAAACAAAAAACAAGGGCGCAGGGCGACCCAGGGATAGGTCACGCAGAACCTGGGGGCATCGGCACCTGATACCAACCAATTCCCACAGTCGAAAAAGAACGCATTGCGTGATTCTGCTCGAGCGATCCCCACCGAAACCGTGCGCGTTTGTTCCCGACGGCGCGCGGTCGCCCAATTGGTCGACACGTGCCGTTTCTGGACTCAAAAATTGTTCAATTGTATTCCGTGTTGTCAGGTTCTTTCATGTTACGCTCTGTTCTGTTCTCGACGGGCCGGCGTGACGTCGTGACGGTAGATGCGTCGCTTGTTATGTTTGTCATTCGTGTGTTCATCTTATGGCTATATGTTATGCTATGAACATGATGTGTCATGTTATGGTATGCTATGTTGTGTGGCACTATGTTATGGCACGGTATGGCATGCCGCTTCATGCTATACTATGTTGTATTCCGCGATGCTGTTGACTGCTCGGCTCAGTATAGTACAGTATGAATTGATATCATAGTATGGTTCGCTAGGCTTTGCTGTCGTGACATGCTATGTTCTGTGATGCTGTCATAATTTGATGAGACCTGATCTGTCATGGCGTGTTATGCTGTGATTGATTTATGTGTTGCTATGCTGTGTTATGTATCCGTAAGGTATGTCATGTTATGCTATGGTATGCTATGTGAGATTATGGTGGTGATGGCTCGGCTCTGTATCGTGTGTTATGATATGTTATTCTAGTACGTGTCGCTATGGTCTGCTGTCGTGTTATAATATGATCTGTTGTTGTGCCATGGTATGCTATGGTATGTCCAGGTGTTTTATGACATGTTCGGTTATGTTATGGTAGGTTGTGCTCTGTCGCATTATGCTGGGTCATGTTTTGCTCTGTTCTATTATGTGATGTTGTGGTATGCCCTATTATGTCAAGACATTGTTATGTTCTGTTCTGCCATGGTCTGTGATGCTCGTGTTATGTCTGTCATGTTCTGTTATGCCATAGTGTGTTCTGTCGTGGTCGTCGTCGCTATGCTCTGCTGTCGTGGTATGATGTGCTGTGCGATGCTGTGCCATGAAATGCGATGTTCTGTCAAGGCGTGTTCTGCTATGCTCGGCTATGTTCTGTCATGTTGTGTTATGCCGTCTCATGCTCTGTCATGCTCTGCCCTGGTATGTTATGTTATGTGATGGTATGCTCCACGTTGTCATACTATTGAAATGTTATGTTATGTCATGTTATGTCATGCTCTGTTCCGTTATGCCATGTTCTGTTCTGTCATGTTGTGTTTTGTCGTATTCGTCGAGGGCGCAAGGCGGGATACCCAGGATTTCTGGGGATCATTGGGACAATTTGGGGTCTGGCGGCCGAGCTATGCAGGGTGGGGTTGGCCGGGCGCGAGGCGCGAGGCGGGACACCCCGCCGGGACACCCGGGATTCTCGGGACAACCTGGGGCCTGGCGGCCGAGGTATGCAGGGTGGGGTTGGCCAGGCGCGAGGCGGGACACCCGGGATTCTCGGGACAACTTGGGGTCTGGCGGCCGCGGTATGCAGGGTGGGGTTGGCCAGGGGGGCCTTCTTTTTGATGTCTAACAACCCCAACCTGTCGGGTGGGGAATGAACATACCTAGGCACCGCTCGGGCGTGTGCACTGTTTCTCGGGGCGGACCATCGATGCGCATCCTGGATCACCGTGCGAAACATACACGCGCGAAATCGAAAAACGCACGGGGAATGGACGTCCGAGCGATGGCGAGATACATTGTCGGAGTTCCGCGCGGATTTCTGGGATCGGCGCTGGACCCCCTTCCCTGGCGCCCGGACGCCAGAGGCGACGCCGGAGGCGCCGCCAGGGGCCGCCCAGCGACCCAAGAAGTCCGTGCGGAGCGCCGAAAGTGTATGCTCACGCCTCTCTGATCTCCTCTACGCCGGGGGGGGTAACTCGGCCAGTGAACGGCGATCGACGTTCGATCCATACCCCTGCTGCTGCCCCCCGCTCGGGGCGCGAGGGGCAGCAGGGCACAGGCAGAAGAACGTGGCTCCTGAGGCCAGAAGTCCAGGGATGCCGCCGCTCTGGCCCCTCGCGGGGTCGGGGCGTGAGCAGGGGCAGGGATGGGATGTCCAGCGCCCAAGTGGGGCCGGTGGCGGGAGCCAGTGGGGATGTGAGGATGGGTCGAGCGGTGCTCGGAGAGGCGGACGGGCTGGAGCCCGCGGGGGCAGCGCTGCTGCGCGCGTTCGTGGGCGGCGCCCCGGACTCCGTGCTGGTCTCGCCAGTGGAGGCTGAGGAAACGTGGGGGGGGCAAGCTGCAGTGCGCAATCCTGGGCGTCCTGGATGGGGTCAGAGCAGATGGGTGCGGGCAAGATGCGTATCCAGATCCACTGCATCTTGTAGTTTTGGGCACCCTTCCCCAGACACCTGAGGCGAAGTGGACATGGATACGAATCTGGCTTCTAGAGTTTCGTTTTTTGGTGCGTATCCACTGCGCCTCGGCCTTTTTGCGCCCCTTCCCAGAAAGTGCAAGACGCAGTGGATATTGATATTGATCGATATCTTGCCCACAATGGGGTTGGAGGATCGCGCCGCATCGCCGATACATCGGCGATGCGGCTCAATACGGAACCCGATCTTCTCCACGCGGACGTCGCCGCTTGATCGCCGACGTTGCCGATGCATCGGTGATGCATCGCCCAGGCGATGCGGCGCGATTTTCCGACCCCATCTATTCGGAACCCATCTAAGATGTCTCCAGTAGCACGCTGCACTTGCTGATAAGAGCGAGGTGTGGAAAGACTGCTCCCATGTAGTGCCTCCGTGTGTTGCCCCCCAGGTAGCGCACCCACGTGTTGCCCCCGTGTGCTTATTGTACGTGGTCCAAACAAAGCACCCGTCTACTGCTCCCACATACAATGGAAACCCGTGCCAAGAAACACCTTGCTTGCCTCCAGGGTGCCTTGGATTTCTGAGCTTTCGATGGTTTGGGTATGGGAAGCGCGATTTTCCCAAAACAAACCAATGGACGTCCTGGGGTCTCAGAGAGGAACATGTAGAGCGCTGCCTCTGCTCGTCCTGGAGGACCCTCGTCGCGACACCCGGATTCTCTTCAAGAATTTGAGTCAGGATGCACCCAGCGGGTGAGGTCCAGGGAGCAGCGGTGGCCGTAGCGGTGCCCTACTTGTCCCCCCCGAGGAGGTCGAGTCGCCAGGCGACCAGGGCTTCGCGGTCATGGAGGGTCCGAGGGCGATGCCGGCCGGCGAGGGCTTCGCGGTCGTGGAGGGTCCAGCAGGAGGGGCGATGCCGGAGGACCAGGGCTTCGCGGTCGTGGAGGGGCCGGAGGCGATGCCGGGGGGCCAGGGCGCCATGGTCGTGGAGGCCAGCGATGGGGAGGGCGCCCCAGAGGTTCGAGCAGGGGACCGACTAATTACAGAGTTGATTTGCCCCAGAGTTGATTTTCTCGTTGAACCCGTGAGAAACATACGTAGATGAGTCAGTAGATCTGCGGAGAGAATTGCAGGTACTCTGGATGGGGTACTAATCGCCCCCCCCCCCCCCCCTTGGATCCGCTGGGGGGGTTGGGCACGTGCTGTCGGACCGGGTGGAGCAGGGGTTGGAGGAAGAGGAGGAGGATGAGGAGGGGGAGGAGGATGGAGGGGGGCGAGATTGGGCAGGCTAGTCAGACGGTGAATTACCCCCCCTTGTAAATCACACATCCAGAGTATGTTTATTCGGTTCAACGGGAAATCAAGTTTGGGGCACATCGATTCTGCAGTTGGGGTCCCCTGCTCGAAGAGGTGGAGCTGAGCGTCCCCAGCTTCCTCAACAGGCCCACGGCGCGCAGACCGGGGGCGGGGAGCCGGGGCGGCGGCCTCCCGTGGGGGAGTCGCCCTGCCCTCTCGGGGCTCAAGCACGCTGGGCATGTCCCTGCACAGGGGGAACACTCCAGGAGAAGACGTCTGTCTTGACTGCCTCGTCTGTTTCTCTTTCCAAAGCCGCCTGCAGGAGACCATGCCGACCCAGTCTTTGGGGGGGCCGCCCCCCCTCCGCCGTGCCCCGCTGCGCGCGCCGCGCTCGGCAGGGGCGCGGAGGGCGCCCAGGGCGTGCAGGGCCTGCTGCGGCAGGACGCCGTCGCGCATGCGGCGAGGTTCGAGTGGGGGATCGGCTCGCCCCCAAGACCGGCTTGGCCCACAATTGACGTGTCCGCCGAATCTGCGAGACGAATACGCCGAGTGGACGTAGATCCACGGGCGCTCTGTGTCTTTTGTCGTAGATTCGACGCGCACATCTACTTTGGGCTGCGTAAGTCAGTTCTGTAGTCGATCTCCTGCTCGAGAGGTCTCTCGCCTCCGAGATGCAGGCTATTGAGGACTCGCTGGTGGCTCGGCGGCCCTGCGGGCACGGGGGGTCCCTGGCCCGACGTCTAACTGCCGAGCCCCTCGCGGTCTCTCGTGGGGGGTGGCATCCTGCCACCACGAACAGCATTTTCCCCCGACCCGGGGGGCTCTGCCGAGCAGGGCTGTGTTGTGCACTCGTGTGGCTGTCTGGAGCCCTTTCCTTCGCGCTGCCGTAGACTCGTATCGAACTGCGGTGGCAGCCGCGCTGTGTGAAGTTCTTGTGGCCGCGCTCTCCTCTCTCCTCTCTTCCGGAATGTCTCCTGCCTCTGGTGGAGGGCTCCTGCGGCCGCGTCCGCACGGTACCCCCCCAGGACACCCTGGGCCGCGAGGTGCTCCAGCAGATCGTCGGGGAGTACTTCTCCGACGCCGCCCGCAGGGCGGAGCAGGCCGGCGAGATGGCGGCCATCGAGGCCTGGCAGCACCGCCAGGCGGCGGCCACCTCTTCCGCCCCTCCTTGGCCATCGTCTTCGGGAGGAGGGGGCAGGGAAAGGGAAGGATGAGGAGACGGATTGGGGAGGGACGGGGGAGGAGGAAGAAGAGGAGGGAAGGAGGAGGAGGAGGCAGGAGAGAAGTTCAGTAAGGTGGAGGAGGAGGAGGAGAAGGACGAAGACGAGTTGGCGCATTGAAGACACAGGAGAAGGAGAAGAATGGCGAAGAGGAGGAGGAGGACGAGGAGAACGGGAGCGAGGAGGAGGAGAAGGACGAATTGGCACACTGAAGAGTGTAATCGATGAGCCGTACTCGGCATTCGCAGTCCTGGCTCCAATGCCCCAGATGCGACGCTTTCGTGTACACCGTGGCGGGGGGAGGCAAGGTTGCAAGCTTGGTGGAGTTGTTCCTCACAGTTCTTAAGCTATTGTTGTTATGGCGTGGACGTTATGTTGCGTCCGAGACGCCACAAGACCCTTTCTTGGGGCGGCCAGGGCCGCAGAGAGCCATCAAGAGGATGGCGTTGTCGAAGTTGCGTTCGTTGACGATTTGTGTATGGTGTTGTTCGCATGCTCGCCTCACCTGCTGTGGGAAGCCACGACCATGTTGTTGGAGGTGGTCGTTGGAACAAAGGCAGACGCCAAGCTTGTATCGAGCTTCGCGGGACGGGTGTGGCCGACCACTACACAAGGTTCCGTGCCCAAAGGAAGTTGGGGCTCGCCATGCCAGGCAGCGCGTTTCTGCACGTTGTGTCTGAATGTAAACACCCTGGGTCTGCGACGGCGTTGGTTGGGTCAAGCATCCCGTACGCGAGCCAGAGGGCCAGCAGCGCGCTATTTTCGCACGCGCCGATCGTCTGGAAAGTCTTTGAGAGCCTGGATTTCCGAGTTCCGCTTCGCACGCTGTTCTATCAGAGTTTAATATCGGCGAAACACTTGTATATTGCGCATGTGAGAGTCTGAAAGCTTTGTGGGGTGCGCGCTTTCGATATTGTGTACAAGCGCCTTGTGCTATTTGATCGTATGAACTAATGACACGGCTGATTCTGACATCCATGCTGGGGAGCATGCCAGCATGGTGGTGTTACGTTCCATACTACTGCGGAATCGGAGTCTGTATTTTGCTCGTCGTCCCCGCTCGGATTATCATGCGTCGTTTGCGTTGTTATTCGAGGACGCGGCAGAGGGAACGGTCTCGTCAAGTTATGCCTTGGGTCCGGCAGGTGGGGGCGGAATTGCGATCCTGTTGCAGAGTGTCCAGTGCTGCGCGAGATTGCCTGCCCGTGTTTGTGATGTGTCGCGCGATATCACTAACAGTTGTGATGTTCGTTCTTTTACATGCATGCAGTGCTCACGTTGTTGTGCTACGCGCCAGGTCATGTTGACGCACGCTCGGGTCAAGCATGGCGCGCGCAACGAGCGCCTGCTCTATGCCGACGATTTGCCGCAAGCAGTTCTCGACCAGGCTCTGTCTCATCTCGCACTGGTTAAACCCTCGTCGGACCGTTTGCTGGCTGTGAGTCGTTGCAAACACTTCACCCGTGGATACTGGCAGGGTGGCGCAGCTAGACGTTGCCGACATTCGATTACACAACAGCAGAACAGCGAGAAAGCATTGCCACGCACGACTGCAAATGGCGGGCCCTGTCAAGTAGGCCCCAGGCGGCACTCAACGGTCTCTAATACAATCTTCGCGTCCTCGGGAAGACGCGCGCCGCCAAGAATGGAGGACAAGGAGGGAAGGGGGGGGGGCGAGGAAGAGGGAGCGAAAAGCAGGCGAGTAAGAAGTATGAAGGGGAGGGCGGGGCGAATTGCAGGAGAGAGGAGGAGGAGGTGGAGGAGGAGAAGGACGAGGAGGAGGAGAAGGAGGAAAAGGAGGACGAGGAGGAGGAGGAGGAAGGAGAATGTAGATGATGGTTTGTATGTAGATCACAGCCACGCTTTCCGCGGCCAAAAAGTATTGCAAGCAATGTTTGGCGAGGTTTGGCGGGGACGGCAGTTCGCATCGCCTGAGAAAGTGAAGTAAATAGCAATTGGCCTGGGGGGTCCGCAGCCGGCTACTTCAGGACAGGATGGATCTGCGATATCGAATCAACTGCGCCGTCTAGGGCCATGGTTTCGGCTACCACAGAGGAAACAGAGAAACAAGCGGTTGAATGCACATGCCGCGCATATCGCCGGGGAAAACGTGTTGACGTCCGTCGCACAAACTCACCGCTTCGGCAAACCAGGTTCCAACAAGACAGGACTCTTCATGTGCCCCCCTGTCGGAGTGGATGGTCGAATCTGCTTCGGGCGCGCTAAAATCTTTCAGGGTTGGCGGGGTGCCTTTCCGCCCGCCGCTACCGACATCCCTGGTGTGATTCACAACACAAGCGGCGATGCGATTGCTCTCGTGCTGGTGCCATAATCTGGGATCTCCCGTTTCAGACACCGGGGATCAACCATCATCGATCGACGTGGACATACATCGGCGCTCCGAAAGTTGATTCCGATTTGAGAGGCACGGCGCCGCGCGAATGCAGCGCAAACGCTATGCTGGAAGGGCGCGGCAGTGCATGCCCACTGGACAGGCGAGAGCAGCCGCGCCCCCGTGCGAACCCCGATCCCGCGCGAGGCGCGTTCCCGTTGACAATGGCTCACCCGGGAAACCGTTTCTTGTGCAGGAGTTCCTGAGCGGTTTGCCCATCGGCGGCTCCTTCGGACGAGGCCCGGAACCACCGAGAAATTGTTTTTGATCGGAAGTTCTAGGCGGTTTGCCCATGTTCGGTTTCTTCGGAGTGGGCCCGAAGACCTCGAGAACGATGTGTTTTGCAAGGAGTCCTAGGCGGTTTGCACATTTTCGGGTCGTTCGAGCCGGACCCGAATTTTTGGTTGGGCACAAGTCCTATGGGATTTGGCCACATCCAGGTCGGCCGGTAAATTTTCCGGGTCGTCGCATGACCGAACCCGAAAGTTTGATGGCGCGCGCGGGTCAGTACACCGTTCGGGGTTAAAGATTTTTTATTGGGAAGGGGAAGCCGATCCCGCGACCCGGGGCGGGGGTTAGGCTCTGCCCTCGCATTGTAGTGGGCCCCTCCGGCCAAACAGGGCGCTGGGGTGCACATCGGCGCGCCGATTCTGCCCTCGCGACATCGCCCCCGTCCGCCCTCGGACCCCGCGAGTCTTATCCTGCGCGCACCACCCCAGATGGCCGCGGCGAGCACGGTGGCGAAATTGGGGAAACTTTCGGATCGGCGCAGTATGACCAATGATCTTTTTCTGATACAATTGTGAGTCCAGGTTCGTTTAACAACACGTGCCCGCATGTCACGTAAATTGACTGACTACATCCTACAACGAAGCCGAAGAGATTGCAAACACGATTGATGTAATGTGGGGTGGTCAACTTCGTCCGAACATCCATCCACTATCTGTGTCAGCTCTCTCTATGCGCTGATTGGCATTGGCTGCGAAGCGTTTTGTGGACGTCCTGTGCCAATGGGCCACGGCCAAGAAGCTGCTCTTGTGTACAGGTCGTAATATTAAACGAAACAATATGGATAATTCCACGATCGTAATGAATCACAGGTGTCCTGTCTCAAGCGCAACTGCGCCCCGAAAGCGGTGCACAACAGATCCTCTCATTCGCGCCCACCTTTTTTACGTGTGCGTCGAGCATAGAGGCCTGTCACGGTGTAGTCAGAGACGTCCCGAAGAAAGCGGGGTGGTATTGAAGTCAGGGGGAGGGGTGGAGGAGGGACGAAGGGGCTATATAGGCCTCCCAGAAAAAGGCGGAGTAGATGGGGTCGGAGGATCGCGCGGCATCGCCGAAACATCGGCGATGCGGCTCGGTGTGGAGCCCGATCTTCTCCACCTTGACGTCGCCGTTGCATCGCCGACGTCGCCGGTGCATCGACGATGTATCGCCGATGTATCGGCGATGCGGCGAGATTCTCCGACCCCATCTACTGAGACCCCATCTGGGAAGCCTCTAGGTTAGAAGGCGGGGGTGGCACAGGCGATGGAGAGGTCCTTCGGGCACGCGAAGTCCAAGGGCGCCATCCCGGCCCAGTTCAGATGGCTGTCGGCCAGCAGTCGGCGGTCCAGCTCCGAGGAAGCGGGGGTACAGTCCAGCAGGTGGGCGTGCAGTCTAGTAGAGGCGCGCTTGAAGAAACCCGATGTTTTTCGTTGGGGTGTCCTGGGTCTCTTCGCTCCGAGGGCTATGCGGTGACTTCCCGCGGCCGTTGAAGAAGCTGTTGCTTTCAGGGTGCCTTTGGGCTTCCTCCCAGTCGCACCTCTCGCGCGGGTCGTCAGAGGTGGGTTTTTTGCGAGGGTTCCTCGCGGCCGCGTCCGCACGGTAGCACCAGAGTAAGTCCAGGATGCATCTTTGATGTTGCAAGATAATTGCCCCGTCCCTGCGAAAACCCCATTCTGAAAAAAGAGTCCACTTCCCTCCGACCTTCTAGCGATCAGAGCTGCGCCGGGTCACGATCACAAGGTCAGCGGAAATTCCCACACATTTGATGAGGAACCGCCCGTCACTGTTAAACAATGCTCCACTCTTGGAATCTGGAAGTTGAGGGAGTCTCATACGATAGTCCCATGGAAAGGCCCGTAAACTGGCGTTGAAGTCAGTACGTTCTTGGTTCAAGATGGGCTTAAGGTCCCTTCGATGATCCGTAAGGGTTTCGCCCTCTGCCGCAGGCACACACTCTACCAGAACGGTATAGGTCAGAGTTATATTTTGGATGTTTGGGCGCCGTCTTGAAGTCACGTGGGAACACGATTCGAGGTGGGCTGGCGATCAGCAAAACATATGAAGATATATGAGTTCTGGTTAAACGCGCTGTTGCCTTCTTAAAGCGTTTCCCTCATGTGTGCATTCGAATCACTCTTGGAACGAATGGGTTATGTTTGAGTCCGTCTAGGGAAATTCGTTCGGTTTGGAGTTTCTGTGGGTTAGTCTTCGCTAGTTTCGAGGACTCGCGGCTGTGGGTCCAGCGCCGATTTTTCAGGAAACGGGGGGGGACGAAAAGCGCTCCTTGAACACATGTCCCAGTATAGAAACTTATTGTGATTGTGTTCCGATGAGGGGGTGACGATTCGGAGCAGCCTCCGCGAGGCGCATCCGTAGCCTCGAGAGCTTTTCTTTGCAAGCGGTGAAAGATAACCAGTAAGTCTGTAGCTTTGACCCCACCCGAAACATAACCTCCAGTTAGTCGGCGTCGTTGTTCCGCGGCGGGTGCTGCGCGAAACAAAGTAGTCAACCCTTGTTGGTGGGACTGCAGTCCGTGAACAAGGCCGCCAGAACATTGATCAATTACCCCCTATTATGGGGGGGGGGTTCTAAAGGCCTATTGCGGTTAGTGTCCTCGGGGGCGCGAGTCTCCCTTGTTCGCAAGAGATCGTGGCCTCGGGAGCGCGTCTCCGGGGCTGTTCACGAAGGCTCGTGACTTCGGGGCGCGCGACTCCTGGTTTTATTATCAGAGAGATGATGGTCTCGGGGGGGCGAGCCTGGTACAGTGGAAAACCATGCCAAGAAACACCCTGCTTGCCTCCAGGGTGCCCTGGGTTTCTTGGATTTCGATGGTTTTGCGATGGAAAGCGTGACGTTCCCACACCAAAAATCAATGGACGTCCTGGGGTCTCAGTGTTGGGTTTCTTGTGGAAGGTTTCTTGTGGTCGAGACCCTCTGGTTTTGGCGCAGGAAGCAGGACACCTCATCCCAGCAGCCTGTTGGTCTCCAAGAGAACTGGCGGATGTCTTATGTGTCGCCTCAAGTTCTTCGGTGATTCCGGCCTAACTAAATAATAAAAGCATCGGCCTCGTTTCTCCTCTCAGGTTCTGTATGGCAATACTTTACTTTGGTAAAACATCATGCGGGTACATCCTGCTTCTCCGTTTTTTATACTCTTTCCAATGATGACTCCAGGCGGCCGATGGGGACCGACGTGTTCGAATAGTAAGTCTTGTGCTTGACATGGGCCCCAGCAAGTGGGGGGATGCACAAGGCTTGCGATGAGCAGTGTGAATCTCAGATTCGGACCGTGCGTCATCCGGACCGCATGGGTCCAGGGACGCCAAGGCCACACCAACGCCGATCATGGCCAGGCAAGTCCTTGGCTTGGGATCGGTCTGGCCTCGGTCGGGGTGTCGGTGTCGGTCGATGCCGACCTGGTGCACAATCTCCCCCCCCCTCGCTCCGTGGGAAGCAGCCACCTGACATCTGTCGGCCGTCTGCCCTGGGCTGGTCATCGCCGAGCACCCGGCCAGTGCGGGCGGGAGCGACCGACGTCATGTCCGACTTTGGCCCGAAGTCCGCTCGGGAGGGACCCCGGCTCCGAACGCGACGAAGCCCGGCTCCGTGGCCCGCAACAAGACCGCCCCCGCCGTCACGATTGGGCAGAACAAGAGCGCGGTCTCTGCCGCGATGGTGGAGAGGGCGGCGCAGGTTTCTGACGTCTCGCGGGAGGAGGGCCTTGGGCGAGGGGAGCGACCACGGCCAGCGGCGGCGACGGCGACAGTGGGCCGACGGCATCACCAGCGACGGCGGCTCATTGTACAGCAACCAGCACAGCTATACGCCCCAAGTGTTATGTTCTTTCGCCACGGATGATACGGGGATGAGTTTCCACCGCCCGGTGGTTATTACAGATGCCATATCCGGCAACGTTGCCCACGAAATCCGCGCTCGTCAACCCAGTTTGGAACGAGACTGATATTTCGAGTGTTCTGCCTCGTTCTTCGCTAACCCGTCATGCACTAACCCGACATTCACCCTTCCTCGCTCTTCCTCCTGCGTTTCCTCTTTTACTTTTCCCACCAGCTCCGCCCCGGGCCGAACCGAGTCTGACGCCGCCCGTTTGGGGTCTGAAGCTGGGCGGGTCTGGGTCCCCCAATTCCCCCGTGGCGCAGGATTGTGAGCTGTCGAATAAGGCTCCCGCTCGAGACATCCTCGAAATGCTCTCACCCCGACCCACCATCACAGCAACCCGCAGCGGTCTGAATTCCAGCGCCGACGGGGCGAGGGTCGGGCCTGGGCGTGTGGGGGGGGGAGGCCTGCCGCCGTGGGGGGGGGCGAGGCTGGCCCTGGAGACCGTCTCTGATGCGGCCTGCCGGCTGCCTGCTCTGGGGCGGGCCGAGGGGGGAGGGGTGGGCCGGGGGAAGAGCCTCCCTTCCCTCCTCACCCTTCACTCCCCTGATCCTCTTCCCCTCCCGTGGCGCTCCAGCGGGGGTCGGAGGGCGAGGATGGGCGCGCGATGAAAGAGCTGCCGCTCTGGTGGTGACAGAGGGTGACTGTTCACGCGAGGCCCCCCGCGGAACGCGCATAACTCTTTCAGGAGCCTCCTTGAGAGCCGTAGTCGCGAAAAGGCTACAGCGTCGTGGAAACCCACGACTGGAGCCCAATCGACACCATCCTCTTGCGGCACTCCTTGAGCTGGGCCGAGGGCTCCTGGTCCAGATCCTGGGTGAAAGAACGCAAATTGCGAAAGAGTTGCGACGCCAGGATCTCAAGGCCTCCTCTCCGAGGCGGGGATTTACCCGTAACCACTGGCCGGGGGTTCGATCTTCAGGGTCCCAGCAGGCTGTGGGTTTTGATATGTATTCGGGCCTTGGGGTGGGCCAAACATCAGGAGCGAAAGAAGGACGTACACGTACACGAATCCACGTCGGTTTCGAGAGTGCGCATTGCGCGAGCGTTCTTGTCGCGAGTCTGGTCTCGCGGATTGGGGGGTCATCTTCGTGTGTGTGGTTGGGCGTGTACGTCCTTCGTCAGCTCCCTTACATATCAGAGTGACCCACCCGCGACCCCACCCGCGACACACCAGCTACCCACCCGCGACCCGCCCACATTTCTTTAACGAAAAATCGGCGAGTGGGCTCGATGCACAATTTGCAAAAAATGAGGCGCCTTCGGCAGGCTTCTTCAGAGCCTCGCAGACTGCCGACGTTCCCGCCGCCCCATCACTCTGATCCGCAACTGCGGGGTGCTACGTATCCATACCCAACCCCTCCGACGTCCTCGAGGAATTCCGCCAATTGAATCCGAACGCCCCGAACGACAGAGGCGCTGCGACGCAAACGCTTCGCGGGACCATCACGCTGAGGTCTGGCACTGCCAGGCCGCGTTGCGATGACGTCTGACCAGGTCTGGCGTCATGGCCCAAACTGGCCCCATCCGCGGGCCCGGAATATGTTTGAACATCTTGGGATGCCCCAGGCTGTGGGCATGGGCGCGGTGCGTTCTCGTGCCGTCGGCGCGGCAGCGACCCCGCGGCACGGCCCTTTCCCGGGTGGAGCGTCGCCGGGCGCCCAGAGTCGGCCAGCACGGCCAGGCCGAGGCGTGCAGCACCACGCAGTTGCGGGGTCAGAGTGAGGTGGCGGGCGCGGGGTGGGTCGCGGGGTCGGTCGCGGGAGGGTCGCGGGGTGGGTCGCGGGGTGGGTCGCGGGTGGGTCGCGGGCCGGGTCGCGGGTGGGTTCCGGGTTCCAGGTGGGTCGCGGGTGGGTCGCGGGTGTCGCGGGCGGGGTCCCGGGTGGGTCGCGGGCGGGACGACAACAAACAACAAATAAGAGACAACAGAAAGCACCAACAACAATCCGCCCCGCAGAAGCCCATTTTAGCCACGCACCCAGGGACAGAGAATGACCGTTCGGCCCCCTCAATTTGATAAGATCGAGGTCGGTTCGGGGAGGGTGCCCTAATTATAATGTTGCTCGTGTTAGTTGGATGGTCTCGTGCATCCTGGGGGAGGGTATCCTCGGGTGATCTTGCGGTTTGCTGCGCCTTGGCCGGCGGAGGGTGTCTTGTTCGTGAAGGATGGTCTTCTGTACTAGGTCCGACCGTATGGAACTATCAGACGATCGAACAGCCGCCGAGTGTTCGAGGGTGAACGATCCAGGCGGTGTTGGAAACCGACGCCGGGGTCGTCACGGCACGAACTTGCCGTACATCCCCGCCTCGCACCAGGCGAAGCCGCCCAGTGCGAAAATCTTGCGATGCTGTACAGCGCGGACGCCCAGAGGTGGGGACCCATTCCCAGGGATCGTCTTGTCATCCCGAGCCGTTTTCTAACGTTCCCGAGGCCAACGAGGAAACAATTGAAAGGATTTCCGACGTGATTTTGTCTGCTCTTCGAGAGGCCTTTGGTCTCAGGGCCTTCCACGCGCCTGCGGCTGGGCTTCGAGTGCGGAAAACACGCGTAAACATCAAGTTGTGGAAAGCCGCGCGTATTTACTGGATCAGCGTTGGACCCCCCTTTTTGGCGCGCGATGCGCGCCAGGGGCGGCGCCAGGGCGCCGCCAGAAGCTCCGCCAGGGGCGCCGCCAGGGGGGCAGAGCGCCGATCCAAGGGATCTGCACGGAGCTTCCCAACGGTTTGTTCTACGCCGTGTCCTGTCCCTCGGCGCCGCCGCGCGCGTGGCCGCGACGCCAACAAAAAAGTGTGCGCGTGCAGCTCGTGCATCACTCCGAGAGGGCCTGCAGATCTCGGGGCCCTCCCCCGAGGTGAGCCGCCCGCTCCCCCGGCGCAGGGAGGCCCGCGGGCGAGAAGCGCGTCCGTGCCCCTGGCCTCGCGGGCGGGGCTCCCCGGGCCGCGGCCCCGCGGATGCGGGGCGCTCCTCCGCGGGTGCCCCGCGGGAAAGCGCATCCGCGGGACCGCGCATCCGTCACGCCGCGCCCCGGAGCCCGGACCGCGAGGGCGCGGCGATGCGGATGGCAGGTTCTCCGCTCGTGAGAGAGGCCCCGACCCGCCCGGCAAGGGCGGCCCGGAGGGCGCCCCACGAGGCCGCCGCGGTGGGCACGCCCGGGGCGTGGCCGCGGGGCTCCACGGACGCCACCTGGCGCGACCAGAGGCGGGCGTGCCGCGGTCGGGGGGAGCCGCGGCCCTGGTCGGGGGCCACGCCAGGTGGAGGCGTGTCCAGAAGAGATTCCCGCAGTCCTCCCGTCGTTTCACCAGTTTTCAACACCCAGGACGGTTTCCATCAGCTGCGCCTCGTCGAGAGCGTTCCAGGGGTGCTGGCATTATCCCGGACTGCTGCTGGAGACCCGAGTTATGACCCCAAAACAGGACGACGATCACGGTGGGTGATAGGCCAGGGCGGTTAGGGGGAATGCATCGACGGACGGCTTTTGCTATTTTCGACCTTTGGGGTCCTGCAAGGGGCCGTCAAAAAACGACTCACGATGAAAACCGGTCCTAGGGAATGTGTCGAGATTTTTGGAAGTCGACGTGATGATAAAATGAAGACGTCGGGGGTCTGGGGTCGGGGGAAGCGTCAGGGGGGGAGGGACAGGCACAAGGGGGGAACGCACAGAACCCCAAGGGGGGACAGGCACAAGGAGGGACAGGCACAAGGGGGGGAGGGACAGGCACAAGGGGGGAACGCGGTAGCCCCAGCCTGCCCAGTACCATGGAGTTCGCTGTCGGGGCCCTATCGCCGATCTATCGGCAACGTATCGCCGATTCCAGGTCGATGTTTACCTCCCTGAGCGGGACACCCCCTGTTGTGGCCTCTCAACCTGGTGGGTCGGATGAGGGACCTCATCTCCGACGATCTGTTGTTTTTATTCCAGCCGTCTTGTGTTGGGTTTTGAGTGAAGCGCTGTGGTCTTCACTCTTCCGTCCTCCTCCCCCTCCTACATCCTGCCTCCTACTCTCCTACTTCCTGCCTCCTGTCTCCTTTTCCTTCTCTTACTCCTCCCTTCTCTCCTCCGTCCTGCTTGCAGTGCAGCCCCGTTGTGACTCTGCCTCTCTCGTCGCTACTTTCGTGGGCTCCTGGGAGGCTTAGCGGAGTGGAGTGGTAAACAGACCCAGCCGAGACCTCGCGGGTAATTGGGGGGTGCGAAGTGCGTACCTGTTGCTACTTTTGTGGGCTCCTGGGAGCCTCAGCGGAGTGGAGTGGACTCCCACGGGCCCTTCAACATGTTCGTTTGTGTTGATCGGTCCTGTGTATCGTCGCCACACGTGTAGCAAGGGTTGGGTACGTCTCAGGTATTTTGTTGGTGGTTGTGTGTGTGTGTGTCAATTCTGGCGCTTCTGCCATATTCTCTGCTTTGGGGCCCGCCATCGGGTCCGAGGACCAACCAGAATGGATCCGGGACGGAAGAAACACTCACGGGGAAGCGGTCAGGAGCCGCGGCCCTTGTTCCCAGGCGGGTGTGTATCCATGACCACCGCGTCTGGAGCGATCTTGGAGGACCTCGGCAGGCGGTGGATGTGGATGTAGTCGGGCCCTGGGGAAGTCACATACATCCATCTCGTCACCGCCTGCCGAGGTCCCCGAAGACCGATCCCGCAGGCGGTGGTTGTGGATAAATCCGCGCCCCAGACTTGTCGCCGGCGCCGCCGCTGACGACGACGACAATGACGGCGGACAACGGCGACGACGACAACGACGACGACGACGACAGACGACAGACGACAGACGACAGACGACAGACGGCAGACGACAGACGACGATTACGACCATGACGAAGACGACGAGGACGACAGACGACGACGGCGACGACGTCAGTGGTGTCTGCTGCCCTCTCCCCTCCAGTCCGCACATACACCACTCCCAGCGCCTCTTCGCGGCGCTGAGATTTTGCGCCTTGAGGCTTTTTTGCAGTCTTCGGCGTCAGGTGCCCTCACCGTGCCCCGCGGCCGCCCACGACACGGGATTGAAAGTGGTTCCACGAGAAGTTTCTAGAGATCGAGGCCTTCGGGGGTCCACGTTGCGAAACATCGCAACGTCCAGTGTCTGGGCGCACCTGGGGAACAGTATCGCCTTCATCGGCTTCGACACACCCCTCGAGAGATCGTCGACACGGTGGGTTCATCATATCACTCCATGGGGGTGTGCAACACCGCTCCTCACCAGCCGCAGCTTGGGGAGCCGTCGTGTTACCTTAGCCCCATGGGAGGGACATCTGATTGGACGCCTCCTCGAAAGATAGACGACACGATGAGTTCACTCAAGGGGGGTGCAAGGGAAACAGTTCCTCACCAGGCGCAACTGGGGAAGCCGTGGTGATCCCGTTATCTCGATGAAGAAGAACGATGGCCATGGCCAAGATGTCGCGGGATCTTGTCGACGCCGATCTATGTCATGGTCCATCCCGACCGTCGCCGATTTGCGAGGATGATCCACGAAATGGCGATGACCGATGGACGATGACCAAGATCGACACGGTTGTTTCCGTGCTCAGTCTTGGTCATGGTCTGCGTTTTTGTTCGGTCGGGTTTTCTTTCGGATGGACCCGTCGGCTTCGGCACCCCTCCCGGGAGGTCAGCGACGCGATGGGCTCTCCCTTGCTTTCGGGGCGGGTGAGTCTAAGGAAGACCCTTGGAGACCCTGGGAGCCCATGCGATTTGAAGATATTTGAAGGAGCCCCTCCTGATCAATGCCCCAGCGGAGTCTGCCGAGGCCATACAGGCTCACTGTCTCACACCGCCTCCTCTCCCAGTGGGGAGCACGGCTCCCCCGGCCGTGGCCGGTCCGGACAGGGGCGTGACGTTCCGGCGCAAGTGCGAGGGCAAGCGGTGCGTCACGAGGGTCATGAGGCGTCGCTCGCGCTGAGCGGGCGGGGTGCGGTGCGGCGCGGGCGCAGCGTCGGGGGTTGGCTGCGCATCGTCGGGCACCAGGGGCTTGCGGTCCGTCGTCGTCGCGGTCCTGCGACCTCCGAGGTAATGAAAAAATTGTCATGAAGTTTTGTTGCTGTTTTTCGCTTGTTCTGGTGGCCCCCGCCCGGCCCTGGGACCGTGAAGCAGCGGCTCGGGATGAAGCGCCGGCCCCTGGGAAAGGGTCGGGACCTCTGTGGGGCCCGTATTGAACAGGTCAAGACATCGGATCTCTTGGGAGATGCCATCTTCTTTGCTTCTCCACCGACGTTGTGCTTCGCGAGCGGTGACGTGCCACCTCAGTTTCAGCCTCTGGTTGCCGCTTCCAGGGCCCCAGGGCCGTCGCGGGGCGACCCAGGATGAAAGGGCGGTCCCAGGAAAGGTTTCGTCCGCACTTCAGTGGATCCTTCACGCTTTGCGTATCCCCACCAGCCCATTCAAAGCCCTGCACATGAGAGTTCACTGGAAAAGGAACGACGACAAACATGTAGTGAAACAACACGGGCAATTAGGGTGAACGGAAAGGTCTTTGGGAGCAAGGGGGTGGCTTTGGAGGGCCTCTTCGGGCCATCCCTGGGGCCCGCGTGGGGGCGAGCGAAGGAGGAGAGGGAGGAGGAGGAGCAAGAAGAAGACGACGATGCCGGTCACCACGACGACGAGGATGAGGAGGAAAAGGAGCAGGAAACGAAGACGATGAGGGCAAGGACGAGGACGAAGAGGAGGAGCATGAGGAGGAGGAGGAGGAGGAGGAGGAGGAGGAGGAGGAGGAGGAGGAGGACAACGAGGACGAGGATAGAGCCCTCAAAATCGCCTCTTGGAGCCCGCATAGGACTCTTTGGGGGAATCTTGGGGTCCTCTTGGGGCTCTTTTGGGAGGTCTTGGGGTGGGGGCCTCATTGGAATTCCTGGGGGCACCTTGGGCCAGGGACACTTCTAGCAGCACCTGACCCTGCTCCTGGCCCGTGCCTGCTTCCCCTCGCCTCTGTCGGACACCAGTGCCTCCTCGCCCTCCTCCGCCCCCCCTGCCCCCCCCCCCCCATGCCCTCGCCTCGCCCCCCCTGCTCTCGCCTCGCCCCCCCCTGCCCCCGCCTCGCCCCCCCTGCCCTCGCCTTGCGCTCCTGCCCCTGCCCTCGCCTCGCCGCCTCGCCCCCCCCTCGCCCTCGCCTCGCCCCCCAGCGCCCTCGGCAGACGGCAGCGTCCCGGCTCAGGGGGCGCCTTCCTGACCTCGATCCGTGCTGCTTGCCCCACGGCCGCCCTGGGCGCGCCTCCCCCCACGATGCGGACCTCGGTCGCGGGCCTCCCCCCCTCCCCCCTTAGTCGCCTCCTCCCTCGCACCCTCCCCGCTCCCCAGCCTCCCTCCCCCCGCCCCCTTGCTCCTCTGCCACCTTGTTCCCAACCATCCTGTGGTGTTGGGTCCTCGTTTTGAAGGGAACGCGCCCCGCGTTCTCCTTCCTTCCTTCCTTCCCTCCTCCTCGCCCTCCTCCTCCCCCTCCACCCTCCTCCGCAGCTCGCATGCGTCTCCCCCACCCAGTACAGCCAACCGAAGGTCCCAGTGGCGCAGTTCGCATGCGTCCCCCCCGCCCAGTACAGCGCTTCGTGGGCCCAGAGGGAGCTCCACCGAAGGTCGCCTTGGTGCGGTTCGCATGCGTTCCCCTCTCACCCAGTACAGCGTTGCGTGGCCCCAGAGGGAGCTCCACCGAAGGTCGCCTTGGTGCGGTTCGCATGCGTCCCCCCGCCCAGTACATCGTTTCGTGGCCCCAGAGAGAACTCCACCGAAGGTCCCAGTGCCGCAGTTCGCATGCGTCCCCCCTCACCCAGTGCAGCGTTGCGTGGCCCCAGAGGGAGCTCCACCGAAGGTCCCAGTGGCGCAGTTCGCATGCGTCCCCCCCCGCCCATTGCAGCGTTTCGTGGCGCATAGGGAGCTCCACGGAGACCCACAATTGCGGTAATCACCACTGTATATGGTTGGGTTCGTCGCCAGGCAATTTGTTTGACGTTGCGCCAACGCAAAGGTCAGGGCCTGAAGCGTTTGCCTCTGCCTCCTCTTCCTCCTCCTCCTCCTCCTGCTCCTCCCGTCTTCGTGCCTCTCTGTCGCGCTCTTGTTCCTCCTCCTCCCTCCCGATCCATGGTTCGTTTCTTTCTTGCCCAGTCTCCTCACTCCTCGCTCCTCGTCCTCATTTCCACTTTCGTCCTCCACGTCCCTCCTCTGTTCTCGCTCCTCATCTGCCGTCCCCCCTACTCTCTCCTCCCTTCATTATCTGTCATCCTGTCTCTTCTCTTCTGCCTGCTCCCCTTCCCGACGAGGAAACTTTTTCAAAAACCGCCGGAAAGAGCCCGAAATCAAATGACATGCCATAGAACCTTGTCCCTCCTCGCCCCCCTCCTCCTCATCCTCCCCTTCAGGATGTACCTCTTGGGAGGTTAGAATTCAGCATCGGCGCGGTAAACCCGTGGTCGAAATGACGGCCTAATCCGCCACACTCCTACTTCATCTGGTTGAAGCCCGTTGGACTATCTCAGCTTGCTCCTGCGCCTATCCAGGCTAATCTGGCTTCATGGCCCCGAGGTCTGGCTTTCTAGCTTGTAGAACCGTTCTTACGAAAGGCTCCTCAGAGATGCTTCCTGATATTCCCCCTCCCCCTCCCCCTCCCCTCCCCCCTCCCCTCCCCCATCCCCTGTCTCCTCCCCAGGCCGTCCTGCTCCTATCCTGCGCCGCCGCGCCGGCCAGCTCGCTCTCCAGCGGCGAGTCGTGGCCGTGGAGCAGGAAGCAGGCTCCCAGACGCCCTTCTTGTCCAAGCCCTTCCCCCCCCCATCTCGTCGTCCGCAGCCTGACTCCTGCTCTCCTCCGCCCCTCCTTGCGCCCTCCTTCCTCCTCCTCGCTCCCCGCAGTTTCGTCCTCCCCTCCCCTCCACTCTCCTCCTCCCTCCCGTCCTCCCCCATCGATTGCCTCCTCCCCCATCGATGCCCTCCTCCCCCTCGATTTCCTCCTCTCCTCGATGTCCTTCTCTCCTCCTACTCCTCTGTTTCCTCTCCCCTGTCCCCCCCGATTTCGTCTTTTTCTCCTACCCCATCGATTTCCTCCTCCCTCCCGTTCTCCGTCTTCCTTCTTCATCCACCCTCCTTCCTTCTTCGCATCCCTTTCCCAACTACCTCCTTCCTTCCGTCCTTCGTGTGTCCTTCCCTGTCCCTGCTGAATTCGCGGCCCAGGCACCAGACCCGTCTCAGGTCTGGTCTCCACCGGGGCCAGGCGTATCGGCCAGTGGCCGCCACGAGGGGGGGGTGTTCGCAGGTTGGGGGGGGCGACAATCTGCCAGCGAACCGGCGACAGGGCACACTCCCACAAGAGCGGCAGGCAGGGACCCGGGGGGAGTGGGGGAGGGAGGCGAGAGCAGGAGGAGAACTGGAGGTCGGAGGAGACGGGCGCCCTGCTGGGGGGGGGGGGAGCGACCTCCCCTTTCCTCGCCCCTCCTCGCTCCGCCCCATCTCTCACCCTGCCTCCCCCCGCTCTCCCATCCGACCCGCCCCCCCTCGTCTGCCTTCCTCCCCCTCCCCGCGCTCCTTCTGCTGCCGCCTCCTCCCGCCCCTCCCCCCTCTCCCAGGCCCTCGAGGAGGCCCCAGCGAAGCCCGTGGCCCTCGGCGCGGTCGGCCTGAAGGTGATGGTGAAGGCCCCCACCCGCGCCGGGTGCTGGATGCGGACGCCGAGGGGGCGCCAACCACTCGGGCGGCTCGACGACGAGAGGCAGGGAGCGCGAGGCAGCTGCGGACTGGAGCGAGGGGGGGCGTGGGAGGGTCGCGGCGCGGGAGGGTCGGGCGTGGGTCTCGGCGCGGGTGGGTCGCGGCAAAGGTGGGTCGCGGGTGGGCCTCGGCGCGTGTGGGTCGGGGGGCGAAGGAAAGGAATTAAGAACAACACCAATCATTCGTAAGGACGTTCGCGCTCATCTGCTCGCGTATCCCAAACCCTCGATGTCTTCCCTCTTCGTCGTCGATCCTGACCCCCTTGGGGGTATATATCTCCCTTGCCTGTCACGTGGGGAAGGCAAATCGCACAGCAACTCGCACAGCAACATCGGGCACCGCTCCATGGAGCGAACTCTCCCGGGTGGCCCTCGACGGCCTAGGAGGCCCCAGGAGGTCGCAGGATGCCGCCGGATGCCCCAGGAGGCCCCAGGAGGCGCCAAGAGGCGCCAAGAGGTCCCAGGAGGACCAGGATGCCCTGGGAGGACTCAGCACGCCCCAGGAGGTCCCAGGAGGCCCAAGGAGGCTCCAAGAGGCCCCAGTGAGCCCCAGGAGGCTCCAGAAGGTCTCAGGAAGCTCCAGGAAGCTTCTGGTGGCCGCAGGAGGCAACAAAGAGGCTCGAGGAGGCCCCAGGACGCCCCAGGAGGTCCCAGGAGGCCTCAGGAGGCACTCGGAAGTTTCGGGAGGCCCCAGGAGGTCATAGAGTCCATCGCGCGAGAGGGAAGAAGTCTCGACCACGAGGCCGCCGTCACTGTGAAACAGACGCCAAGTCGGAGTTCTGGGGACGGGGTTCGAAGCTCGAATCTCAGGGACCCAAGTCTTCGGATGTCCCTGGCACCTCCTTCACCATCCGAGATGTTTCTGGGACTTCCGAGAGCCTCAGGGGTGGACTTCCGGTAAAAGGACACGAGGAGGAGGAGGAGGAGGAGGAGGAGGAGGAGGAGGAGGAGGAGGAGGAGGAGGAGGAGGAGACAACACGACGCTCCACAGAGTATACTGCATGCAATTGGTTTCTACCACCGTGAGGGGCGTTACTAATCATTGTTTAGAAACGAGAATTCAGCAAACTTGTCACTCAACATGCATATCCTGAGCCCTCGATACCCGCCCTATTCGTCATCGATCGTACCCCCCTTGGGGGCATATCTGGTCCAGGGCGTGGTGTGGTGGGGTCTTCTCCTGTGGGCGTGCGGTGGTGGGTATGGGGTCCGGCCCTCCCCACCCCACCTGTGGGTGTGGAGTGGTGGGTGGTGGTCGTGGTGATGGTCGGGCCCTCCTAAGGAGGAGGAGGAGGAGGAGGCGGAGGAGGAGGAGGAGGAAGAGGAGGGGACGGTGTCTTCGCCGTCGTCGTCGTCGTCGTCGTCGTCGTCGTCGTCGTCGCCGCCGCCGCCGCCGCCGCCGTCGTCGTCGTCGTCGTCGTCGTCGTCGTCGTCGTCGTCGTCGTCGTCGTCGCCGCCGCCCTCCCCCATACCATCGGGGGGGGGGCCCGAGGGGCCCTCGGACCCCTCCCGTCTTGGGGGGGCGGCCCGTGGGCCCGGAGCCCGGGATCCTGTCTCCCTTGCGTGCCGCGTGTAGCCAGCGCAGCCCCTAAGACAGCAAGGGCTCCCCCGAGGGCGCGAAGTTATTCGCGCTTCGCGCTTCGCGGTCCTCGTTTCTCCTCCCCCTCCTCCTCGTCCTCCTTTTGTCCCTTTGGGGGGGCGGCGCGAGAGCGCGAGGTTATTCGCGCTTCGCGCTTCGCGGAGCGCGAAGCGCGAAGTTGGGAGCCCACTGGAAAGGAGGGAGGAGGCACGACAGAGATAAGCAGAGGGGTGGGAAGGAGCAGGGAAGCAGGCGGCAGAACCAGGCGGGCGGGTCGGGTGGGCGAGCCCTGCCGGGCGGGTCGGGCGGGCGGGCCCAGACGGCCAGGTCGAGCGGGTGGGTCGTTGAAGCGTTGGTCCGTCCTGAGTCGCAAGAATGGAGAGCGTCCAGAGCGTGAGCGTGATGCCCGATTGTCGAGGGCGCGGCGTCTGAATGAATGGCGGGGGCGTCCGTCGCGAGAGCGCGATTCATGCACAATTCGTGAGGACGTCCCGCGCGAGAGTGCGGTCTTCAATCAATTATAAAGAAGCATCAGGTGGGAGCAGTTATTGTCGTTGTTGTTGGTGGAGGTGGTAGTGTTGGTGGTGTTGGTGATGATGTCGTTGTTGTTGTTATTGTTGTTGTTGTTGTGGCTGTTGGTGTTAATGTTGGTATTGGTGCTGGTGTTGTTATTGGTATTGCTATCGTCATTGTTATTGTTATTGTGTTTATGTGTATTGCTGCTGTTGAACTGTCATTTCTAGTGCATACTTGTTGTTGATCCTTCTCTCTGGTAGCCATTATATAGTTTCTCCCTGAGCTCGCACTCTGTTTTTTATGGGAGAGCGAAGGGTCACCAAACTGCGTTGTTGGGCCCCGAACTACAACAATGGTTCCCGCCGAATATTCCTTCACAGTTTATTTCCAAATCGCGCTCTCGCGCGGGACATCCTCACCATTCATACAGGAATCGCGCTCTCGCGTGGCGACCTGGCCGCCTGGGCCCACCTTCCCGACCCGCCCGTTAGGGTCTACCCGCCCGATCTGCCCGTCTGGTTTTGCCAGGTGTTTTTTGCTCCTAGCCACCCCTCCTGCCCATCTCTCTCATGCTCCATTCTTCTCCCTCCCCCTTGTCCCTTCCATCCGTCCTCTCTCCCCCTGCCTTAGGGGCTACACGAACTACACGTTTCAGGTCAGAAAGATATACCCCTAATGGGGGCACGATCGAAGATGTAGAGGGCGGGTATCGAGAGTTTTGGATATACGTGTTGAATGGCAAGCGAGCCGATAAGAGCGAACAGTGTGAACATGATTGTTGTTGTTGTTGGTCGTGGTGATGGTGGTGGTGCTGTTGGTGGTGGCTGTTGTAGGGGGTCAGCAGTTCTTTCTGAGGAGCGAGATGTCTCCTAGCAGGAAGCAAGGTGCGAGCCCTGGGAGGAGCACATCAATAGAAGAACGCACGGTGAACTGCAGGGCAGGATAAACAATAATTTCCTTAGAAAATGATAGCTCAACGACTATCCGCTCCGCGGAACCCCACTACAGCCACGCACCCAGGGACTGTGTAAGACAGTTCCCCCCCCCATTTCCAGCAGCAAGAGGGTACCGCTGGTTACGAAAGAAACGCCCATGCCGTGTCTAGGTTGCAGGGCATCGAGACGCGCCCCCCCCCTCGCCCCCCCTATTTCAAGGTAGATGGGGAAGCGACGGGCCCCTCGCAAGCGTGGGCGTTTATTTCCCAACACCTTGCGCTCCCTGCCAGCGCGGTCGTCCGCCAACTTTGAGATACGGGAGTGCTGGGGTGCCATTTCGGTACTTCTATTTCTTTCGCAAACGGGGGTAGATCCCTCAATCTTATGCGCCAAGGCGGCACAGGCCACCCGCATAGTAAGGATGGACACATTCCCAAGGGTACCTTGCATCCTTGCCCCTTCGGCCGATCCTCAGCGACTTTCGCTGGCCAACCTCGTTCGAACAATGTGAATATTGCCCTCCATGGCCCTTGCATCCTTATCGCGCATCCTTTTTATACGGGTTGCTTTTATCCGTAAGGGCTTCGCCCCCTGCCGCCGGCCCCCTCTCTCGGAGAATGGGCCATGGAAGAGCTAAGTCATGAGGCCTTGGCGCTGTCGTGAAGCAGTATCGAAACTTCATGCGAAGCCGATTCGCAATCAGCAAAACCAACTGATCACAAGAGGGGTTACCACACCTGGCGATTGGTAAGACGTGTATGGTTTACGGGCTTGGTTACCACACCTTGCGATTAAAGGGCCGAGGGAGTTCTCGCAGTTTGGGTTACCACGCCTTGCGATGGATGTGCGTGAAGGGTGGCACCGAATTTCAGAAATGTGGCAAATCCCATGTGTTTTTGGACCCTGACCCCGCGGATCTGCGTGAGGGGTGGCACCGAATTTCAGAAATGTGGCAAATCCCATGTGTTTTTGGACCCTGACCCCGCGGATCTGCGTGAGGGGTGGCACCGAATTTCAGAAATGTGGCAAATCCCATGTGTTTTTGGACCCTGACCCCGCGGATCTGCGTGAGGGGTGGCACCGAATTTCAGAAATGTGGCAAATCCCATGTGTTTTTGGGCCCTGACCCCGCGGATCTGCGTGAGGGGTGGCACCAAATTTCAGAAATGTGGCAAATCCCATGTGTTTTTGGACCCTGACCCCGCGGATCTGCGTGAGGGGTGACCCCGCGGATCTGCGTGAGGGGTGGCGATTTCGAGCCCCCCCAGCAATCCAGACAGCGCGCCCAGGGGACGCTAAAAAGCCGGTTTGAGCCTCCGCCCCCTCGCGCGGTCAATCAACTAGTTACAGCAACCAGCAAGAAGGAGAACAATCAACTGGTTACAGTAACCAGCAAGAAGCAGAACTGTGACACTGGAAACTACAAGCTACAACTGGTACAGGAGGCTGCGAACCCCGCTCCTACAGCCTGGTGGCCCCACAAGGGGGCCGGCGGATTTCTGAGTCCCAGGGGCTGTCAAGAAGCAGTTCTGGGACGCAGCAACCGTCCTCGGGGAGGGGGTCGGGAGGCCCAGGGGGGGCCACGTTGCGAAGTAGTCAGGCCCCGTCGAAGGTCCGGGTACCGTCAACCCGTATCATAAGTGCGAGCGATAAGGATGCGAGGGCCTTGGAGGTCCATGTCGACACTTTGCGGGCGGGGCGCGGCCAGCGAAAGCGGCCAATGGATGGGCCGAAGGGGAAGGATGCAATTGTAACCTCGGACAGTTTCGCATCTTTACTATTCGGGTTGGCTGTACCTGAACCTCTGGGCGTCGTGGCACACAACACTTCTCGGTGGTTCTGCCTCGTCTCGGAGCCCTGTGACCTCGATCGGTGAGGCTGATCTCCAACGATTTTTCTTTCCTTTTTCGAGGACGTCGGGGGGTCGGTGTGCAGCTGGTCTCTCTCCAGGATGCCGTCGGGATGCCCCAATGACCCCATGGACACCGCGAAGTGGAGGCACGACACGTGGGCGGAAGCGCAAGGCCTCGACGAGGCGGGCTGCCACCAGCGCGTGAGCATCTGGAACGGCTATTGCGGCTCGCAGGACAGACAGGGCTCGACCTGAACGGTGTTTCGGCGATTTCGTGTGCCGTTCTCGTTTCGATTCTGGTTTGCAGCAAGGGTGGACAAAGCACAAAAGGAGGGACACTGAGCACAAAACGAACACTGGAAACATTGTTTAGGGCGATCCTTGTCGCAGGACGCGATGATGGCGTTCGTGCCCAAGGAGTCGGAGGACCGCTCGGAGCCGCTCAGCGCGCTGCAGATCTCCGCCACCCACTCGTGGTCCGCTCCGCGCGAGCGACAATGATCGGATCATCCCCAATCGGGGAAACGTAAGCCTCGAGTACGCCTGAATTCGGGTTTGCCGACGCGTTTTGACGAACGCGTTCTGGATTTCAACGGTCCAGTTTTCGTGGGATGTCTGCAGCGGGAGTTCGCGTCAGATTTCATTTTGGGTCTCGTCATTTCATGATGGCCCCATCAGGCCAACCCGAGCCCCCCAAACCCGAGTCTTACGTCTCCCCGATCCTGGCGTGCGAACAAGCCACGCGGGCTGGTCTTCCCCACTGCCTCGGCCTCTGTGGGGGCGCAGCTCAGGCCCCGAACGCTTCCAAGACACGACGCATGGCGGCACAAGAAATTATCCCGGGGATGAGGACGATAGTTGCGGGAGCCATTGTCACAGAAGGTAGTGCAGCCCCGGCTGCCACTCGCCCAAACCGTGCGTCGTACATTCCCAAGCACCCCTCCAGGGGCGCCCCGAAACTATGGACATCTCCCAATGGTCCGCCCGCTTGGGCGTTGGGGTGTCTGGGTGGACATGGTTTTGATCCCTCCATGGAACGGTGCCCTCAGAGGCACGCTCCTGGTTGGAGCAGTCCTTGCGTAGCCTTGGGACTCCGTGCGTCGTGCGCATGGCGCAGCTGCCACGGGTAGGGTATCAGGGCTTAATTGCCCCAAGCAAGCGAGGCGCACGCACGACCTGATGAAGGTAGAAGCGGGCCTCAGAGCATGAGGAGGAGGAGGAGGAGGAGGAGGAGGAGGAGGAGGAGGAGGAGGGAGGAGGAGGAGGGAGGAGGGAGGAGGAGGAGGAGGAGGAGGAGGAGGAGGAGGAGGAGGAGGAGGGGAGGAGGAGAGGAGGAGGAGGGAGGAGGAGGAGGATGAGGAGGGAGGAGGAGGAGGATGAGGAGGAGGAGGAGGAGGAGGAGGAGGAGGGAGGGGGAGGGGGAGGGGGATGGGGGAGGAGGTGGAAGAGGAGGAGGAGGAGGAGAAGGGCGAGGAGGAGTGGGGGGGAGTAGGAGGAGGAGGAGGCTGGCCTCGCTCTCCCCGCAGGTCGTGGCCCTGGAGCCAGCGCAGGGCCGACGACAAGCAGGCTCACCCCCATGCCGTGGCGGCTCGCGACGAGGAGAGAAGACCAGACAACTAAACCCATTGGTCGTTCCGAAATGGGCCTCGCCTTCGAGGGTCGAAGGAGTTGCCATCTCTTCCTCCTCGGGAGGCGGCGGAAATTGGCGGAAGGGCGGCGGAAGGTGACGGAAGTGAAACATGCGCCCCCAAGAGATGACAGCATTTTTGGGTTCGGGGTTTCCGGAATCCGCCACATAAGAAGCGCAACGTTGCGGAGGTCCGCGTGTGTTTTTGTTGGGGTCGGCGCTGGCTCGCCCCCCTCCTTTCCGCACCCCTTCCGCGGTGCCCAGAACGCCGCCAGGGGTGGCGGTGAAGTGGGTCCAGCGCCGAGGCCAGAAACCCGTGCGGACCCCTGGGAGTAAAATCAGAACGTGAAGTAATGAACATTTCGGGTTCGGAAGGGGCTCGCTGTTTCTTGGGTCCTTCCATGGTTGTTCCTCTAGCGCTCCTCGTGCACCCAGGCGCGTTCTGGGCCACAAGGGGCTTCGCTCCTTCTTCGGCAGTCCTATTTGCAGCGCGATGACTTGATGTGTCTTGCCGTTTTTTGGAACGCAAGGGGAGGAGGCGACTTTCGGACCTCCCAAGAGGTGCGTTCTGGCCAGAATCCCGAGTGTAATCCAGCCGGTGCCACGAAGGCGTTCCAGGAGGCCCAAAACCTCAATCTGGGATGCCAGAGGGCGACAGAGGGTCCCTAGATCCCTCCCAGGGTCCACCCCAGCAAGTTGTTCATGCATCAGATCAGTTCGCCGGAGCAGCTTGGACCGTCGTAGGGCCCCAGACAGATTCCTAGAGGCCGGAAATCGCGAGGAACCTCTTCGAACTGTTGCCTCGAAGTGGCCAGTTCCTATCTTTCCCCCTCCTTCTCCAAGACTTTTCATGCCTCGCATCGCGGGGTGCACGTCCAGAGCACGTGCAGTCCAGTCGTTGCGGGGCCTGGTGGGATCCTCTTTGGGGCCTTTTGGAAGCTTTTTGAGAGCGCATTCGGGCCTTCCGGGGGCTTGTTTGAGGCCTCTCGCGGCCTCTTGGTGGCGTCTTGGGCCCTCTCGGCCTCTCGGGGCGCTCTTGCGCCGTGTGGCCTATTCGGAGGCCGTCCTTTAGGCTTCTCGCCGCCGCCTTGGGGCCCTCTTGGGGTCCTCTGGAGCCGTCTTGGGGGCCTCTTGGACCTTTTTGCGGCTACTTCCTGTTTTTCCCCCTCCTCCAAGAAGTTTCATGCCATGAGGACTGTCGCGCTGAGCGGCCCCCCGGCGCCACATCCGCAGCACCCCAGACGGTGTCCACGCGCGGGGGTGTCTTGTCTGGTCCTCTTCCCCCGACGTCCTCGGATCTGATTTTTCAATCCGCGGCCCCAGAGCTCAGAGGAGGAACAGATACTCATACCGCTACCCCTCGCACGTGTTCCCCTCTTTGGACCTCCTGGGAGGCCCTCGTCGCCACCGCTGGATTCGCCTCGAAATTCTGGTCGGAACGCACCCTGGGAGAGGTCCGTGGAGCAACGGCATCGGTACCCTTTGTTTTCCCACAGGGCTTCCGAGCCCTTCCCTGGGGCCAGTGGCTGGCCCCAGGGCCCAGACTCCGAAAACCGGCGAGAAACGGCGAGAACACGGACAGACCAGTTTGTACCCGTGGGTTGCCGCCACGCCACGGAGCCGGCTCGATCTGACATCCTGGAGGCCTCTGGGGCCGCTGTTGGGCCGCACGAGGGCCGAAAGGGCGAGAACGCGAACCCATTCCTGTCTTGCAACTGAATGAGGGAGTTGGGTCTGCCCCCCCCTCCCCCACGACGAGGAGCAGGCCGAGAAGGTCCACACCAGCTCGATCATGGCGGCCCGTGACGAGGAGGCCCCTGTGGCCTCGGGCGACCTGGCGGCGGCCCCCGTGGCCGCGGAGCGGCCGTCCCTCGCCACCAGCACGGACCGCCGCCAGCAGGTGTTCTGGTTGTTTCGCCGCTCCTCGTCCTCGTCCTCCTTGCTCCTCGTCCTCGTCCTCCTCCTCTCCTCCGTCCTCCCTGGCAGTTCTTGGCAACCACGCTGCCCACTCTGGCTCTTTCTGGCATCACTTCGATCGTCGGTTGGTACTCGGCGCCGCCATCTGTCCTTTGGAACAAAAATTGTTGGGCGGCCAGCAGAGAAGCTTCTCTCGGGAGCCTGGAGACGGGAGTCAATGCAAACGGGTGTCAGCCAGAACGCCGGATTTTGCAGGATCCTTCAGAGCCAGAGGTGCATTGACCCGGGTTAGCGCGCAGGATAGAGGGACGAGGCTTCTCTCAGGAGCCTGGAGACGGGGGTCAATGCAAACGGGTGTCAGCCAGAGCGCCGGATCTTGCAGGCTCCTGCAGAGCCAGGGACGCACTGCCCTTCGCAAGCGCGCAGGATCCTTCAGGATCTTGCAAGGCCCAGCTGACCCGAGTTTGCATTGACCCCGGTCAGTAGATCCCCGATTCTCGTGGGTGATGAGCATGCGGTCAAGGCGCTGAAATGATAAGGACCACTTGGGGCTCAGTAGGGCTCTGGATAAAAGGCCGCTCCTCAGAACTCGTGGCCGAGGCTCGCCGTAGCCAGGAAAGCCCCTTCCTCTGTTATTCAGCGTTCCTGATAGTAGCGCGATGATTGTATCCGTATCCGCGGCCTCGCGGGCCAGGCCCTTGGGCCGTTAGCCTGCGAATGCGGGGCGTGTTGTCGCGGATGTGCGCCTGACGTATCCGTGCGACCGCGTATTAGCGGGATCGCGCCCAGGAATCAAGAACGCGAGGGGGCGGATGCCGATATTTTTGCCGCTCGTGAGCTTCTAGCGTCTCGATGCAGAGGGGGGCGGCTGGCTTGTTCACAGAAGATTTCATCGGGGATCCGTTTGGAGATCCTCTCGCCGGGCGAGATAGTGTGATAAGTGCTTGGGACATGATGCGGCGATATTCTTGTTTGGTGAGATTCGGGAAGGCTTGCTAGGTCGTGCGTTCCCGCGATCTAACTCTTGGCCTCTGGAGCCCCATTGTGGGCTCCAGGGCCGTCGAAGAACGACTCAGGCTAGAATGCGACTCCTGAGTAAATGGCAAGGAAGTTTCGTGCGAGAGCGCGATTCCTACTCCTCGAGGGCGTGGTGCTTGAATAAATTGAAAGGAAGTTCTGAACGAGAGCGCGACTTCTTGAGTAAATAGGATGTCCCGCGCGACTACGCGGTTTTGAATACGTGATAAGGAGGTATCGAGCGAGAGCCGCTGTTGTCGTAAGCTGGAGGCCAGGGGCGCTGTCTGCGCCCCAAGACCCTTCTGGGTAAGAAACAGGGTGCGAGCCCCAGGGGGCACGGGTGGTGTACGTTTGTGTCGGGCGAAGGCGTGCGCAACTTAGCGTATAAACGTGCTGCTCCTTGAGAGGACGGCAAGGTGAAGATGGCACGCCCGACTCGCCCCGGCTGCTGGATGCGGATGGCGTCTGGGTGCCCCAACAAGCCCGACATGCAGACCGAGTTGTGGAGGCACGACACGTGGGCGGAGAAGCACGGCCTCGACGAGGCGGCTTGCCAGTCGCGCGGGGCCGTGTGGAACGGCTATTGCGGCTCGGAGGACGCGGTGATGACCTTCGTCGCCTCGCAGTGAACGCGGGCGCCTTCTCTGTTTGCACCTTTCAACGTCCAAGTCTGCAACCTTCTGCGAACAAGGCGCATCCGCCTCCTCTCGCGCCTGCCCCGATTGTTCCTGCTCCGTCGGCTCACCCATGCTCCTCATGTTTCCTCCTGCCTCCCCCCGCTTCGTTTTTTCCTCCGCCATTTCCCCACTTCCTCATTCGTCCTCCGCCATTTCGCCCCTTCGTTGGCTCCCTCGTCACCGAAAGCCTCATATACCCCATACCCCACATCCTATACCCTCCCTCTCCCCCACCCATATTCATCTCATTGCCGACAGTCTCCTCCATCCTGCTTCTTCCTCTTCCTTGCCCCTCCTATTCCGTGCCCTCCTCCCTTGTTCACGTATCATCAGATCACCCTCATCGCCGTCATCATCTAGTGCTCCCGTCTTCTGTTCTTTCGTCCTCCATGGGCCCCCTCATCACTCTCCTCCCGTCTTCGCTCTACCCCCTCCCTCTCCCTCCTCATCCTACAGTTGTTCCGTCTTCCCCTTGTCCTTCAGCCTCCAGTTTTTCCAAACGGTTCACTTTTTTTTCATATTCGCCATCCTACTGCCCTCTCCGTCCCCCTTCCCATCCTTGATCCTGCAGTTCCTCGTCTCTCGACTCTTGCTCCTCCCACTCCCTCGTTGTCTCGACGACCACAGCAATTCCGACGACGACGGCATCCGCGACGGCGGTGACGACGACGGCGGTGGCGGCATCGAAAGTTGGGAGGAGAGGCGAGGCAGAGGTATTGCTTAGTTTTTGTTGTGGCATGCGTGTGCGAGGGCTTATACACTCCAAGCTTCCAGGGAGTTGCGGGAAAGATTGCGAACATCC